ACACGTTGTTCTGCTGATTGATACATGTAAAGGTTGTAATCATCTATAACACATTTCCCGGCATGTTCAGTTATTGCCGCCCATAACTTCCTGGGAATATTGCCAACTTTCTACAATTCCAGAGCCAAAACCCAGATGAAATATGAATACACGCATGAATATTCTTAAAGTACTACATAAAAGGGAAACAATTATTGAAAAGAGAGTGAGAAGAAATACAATCCCTCACCTCAAGCAATGAAGATTGGTCAATGTTGTAAGACCGCACAAGATCCCCAACCGTCCTTATTCCGTAGTCACAAAGTCGCTGGTAAATTTTACCATTTTTAGCTATCTTCTCCAAACGCCATAAATCATCATTCAAATATGGAGGGTGATGTTTCTTGTCCACTGAAACGACCAACAAGAACCAAAACTTCAGCATTAAAAACGCTAGAGTCTGGGTAACAGACAAAAAGGAGGTTATGATTATGATTTTAGACTTACGCTCTCCTCTTTTATCTTTTACCACGAGAGGTTTACTTACACCTTCCTTTATGCTTCCTGCACACGAAGTTCGTTGCAAAACTTTGGCTCCCAAGCCGAACTTTCTGCTTCTTATCCAGCGCGAGTTGTCAGTGAACTTAAGTTTAGTGATACAACCAACCCCATTTTTAGAGTAATGATCCGATCTCCAATCAGCAATGACCCCTTGCCCTCCCTTGGGGATAAGATATTTGCATTGAATTCTTCTTCAGTGCAATCCTCACACCTTTTGGAACAGAAATCACCGTCGAGGGCGAAGATCTCTACCTTTGTAGAGGACAAAGGACCATTGCTCACCACAGATTGAGATCTCACATCAAAAAGAGCAATCTTAAGCGGTGTCTCCTCATCCTCAGCTATGACATTAGAGTATGCGAATGTTGTTTCGGGCGGTTCATTAATAAAACGCAGCTCTAAGGGTTTGGCGCCAGATGTGCCATCCTGACAAGGCGTTGCTGCTCTGTAACAAATTTCACCCAAAGCAGAATAGAAAAATAAATCAAATTATAGGCTACTTACATATAAAATATCTAAGATAGCAGGAAGTATCACAAGTTTACTTAATTTACGAACAGAGAATTTGGACATGAGAAACCAACCTTGGAAATAGGTATTCTTGTATTTTACGTTCCACCTCTTGTCGTACCTAGTTGAAGAAACACCGAGTCATCAAGCAGATAAAGATTTCAACAAGCACGTTCAAATATTTACTCTAGCGTCTTTATCAACAAGTTTCCCGGATGAGGAAAGGACGAGAAGCTAGAGACTAAGCAAGATTATGGAATTGACGAATTAAAAAGGAAAAGATAAACCGGCGAAAGCTCCAGTTAGAAAAATACTATCTCCTGTTCTTAATATAAAAGCTGTTGACTAATTTAAGTAAGTTAAAAAAACTAATTAAGTTATTTATTTATAATAAATAAGTGTTGTTTTTCTTAAAATATTTTTGCTAGTCAAGTACTACCTCCAGTCCTTAATATAAGAATTAGTTTGACTTTTAATTTAGTCATAAATACAAGACCTCAATCCATTTTATTTCTCCTATTTGTACCTTTTTTTTAAAGTAACCCTTTTAGTAGCTGCACATGTTAAATATTCAATCAAATGGTAGTTTTAGCTAATACTCTTCTAGTTCCATTTAGAGGGTAGAAAGAGAAGGTATTTTTTTGTTCTATTTATAGGGCATTGAGAGAAATTTTTTATATGGATGTACAATTTTACCCCTCATTTATTATTATCTTGATTTTGTTTATATGAGATATAATATATATTAAATAGGGATAAAGTTGAAAAGTCATTAAATTTTAAATGAGAGTTAATGAAGTTTAGGGTTTTTCTTCGTCTGTGTGAAACATGCTGGAAGTCTCTTATAAATAGGACAAGAGGAGTACATGATTAGCAAGGGTATTTTAGATAAGACAATACCTAATTATTACAAATAATTACCTCAACAAACTTTTTTAATCTACTCAAATTAGTCAACTAGCTCTTATATTAAGAACTGGAGGTAATATATTGGCTAAAACTATCATTATTATAAGAAATATTTGAAAAAATATATATAAATATAAAAGACAAGGTGGATTAGAATTTCATATTTAGAATCAAAATAAAAATCAAACGATTTCTTATATTAAATAACGAGATAGCGAAAGAGGTAGTAACAAGCACTGGGGGCAAATAGAGTGTGGGAATCAGAACAATGCATTAACGAACACTTAGCAACTGCAAAAACCTGGAGAAGATTGAGGAAGGCATTCAGGGTGGTTTTGCAGTTTGAAATGGAGCGTGGTTGTGAAAGAAGATGCTCAAAACTAGCTGAGATAAACGAAAGGAACAAAAACAAAAGAATATTCTTCAACCCCATATTCATTCTCAAATATAATAGAATTAAAAATATACAATACCACTCTTCGCAGGAAAGGTTCCAAGTAGGGATCCAGGTCCTTCTTCAAGAGTTCGTTTATAATGTTTTCAAGGCCACTGCACAGGAACCACAAAACCAAGCTTAGAGCAACAAACCAAGGCACATAAATTAATGGAAGGGAATGACAAATACCTGGTCGCAGGTCGTCTCGAATCGCCATGTCTTCCTCGTATGGATTCTCGAATTTGAACTGGATGATTCCTGCCATTACTCTCCAGCTGATGAGATTTCCTTTGAGATACCATCCAAATAATCAAGCAAATCAATGACGCTCAGTCGCAGCTGCTCAGTCCTCAGAACCCCCAATAATCTAATTCGACGTCTTGTAATAAAAAGAACCACTCAGCTCAAAAGGTTCTTTTATAGGCCAATAAACGGGGGGAATGCAAAAAAAACACGACATTGAATTGGCAATTACAAACGAAGTTGCGAGGAAGCATCGTGCAGCAGCGCTAAGAACACGCTAACACAAGTCAACGTCATTTTTCATAGAGGAAAAATAGAAGAGTAAAATGAAAAGACCTCAGAAAATGCTTCTCACCTACTGTTCCGTCCGGTTACTCTGTGCAGTCCTAAACTTCGGTTCATGCGCGTGGTTGTGGAAAAAACTGAAAAGGAGGGGCCCAACGAACCTGGTCGTTTCTTGCATTCGCAGAGTGAACAGTGGTAGTGAACGCAGAAAAGGAGGGCCGCGGCGGTAGCAGCGGCGATAACGACGACGAAGGTTATATTTGATTGCAGTTAGAAACGGTATGTGAAACTGAAGTTTGTAACTCAGTTAAGCACAAATGGTTGTTTGGCTGGAAGTAAAAACCCAATCAACTTCTGACATTCAATGAAAAATATGACTTTTTTATTTTACACTGTAGATTCACTTTTTTTCATAGATTTTTATAACTGAACTCACTTTTCTATTTAATCATCTAAATAACTTTTAATTTTTTTAACTGATTTTTATGAGCACCTATCCAAATATAAATCACATTACACTAACTAATTTTTATTCTAATTTTAGTTATAAAAATCAGTTGGACCAAAAGTCAGTTTTTTCCAACACTAATCCAAACACACCCGAAAATGACTGTGGACTTCATTTAGATTTGGAATCTACTACTACCTCCGATTCTTAATATAAAACCTTGTTTGATTTTTATTTTGGTTTTTAAATATAAGATCCCAATTCATTTTGTCTCTCATATTTATATATTTTTTCTTAAAGTAATCCTTCTAACAATAATAATTCTAACTAACTTTATTTTTTTTAATTTCTTTAAATTAGTTAATTATTTTTTATAATTAAGATCCGAAGAAGCACTGCATTATTGAGATGCGGACGCGTTTATGATCGTGTGAAAGAAAAGAATCCGGACCCTTTCGTACGGCTGAGATGGGATGTCTGAATCTGAATCCCTGATTGGGTGCGCCTTTCAAGTTCAACACAAAAAGGCCAAAGCCATCGACGGCCGCACCTCCAAAACACGTGATTGTTTTTGGCCACTAATCAATCCATCAATCGTGATCGTTATTTCGGATAAACTTCAAATTTCAACGAGTACTAACGAGTACATGTGCTTTCCAAATTAAAGTTATCATGTTTAACTATAGTATTTTCCACGAATATTCAAATAGTTTTTGTTTTTAATGATTTTGCTTCTTTCGTATACAATTCACTGGGGCACTGATTATCAGGGCCTGCTTTATATCAAGTTGTATAAAGTACATCAAACTTGGTGATTACTGTTGATCAGGCAATATGATGTGATTAAAACCAGATCTCCTCCCTTATATATATAAGACAGATTTTTTTTTTGGTTGAAATTAATTTTTTCCCACCGGCAGCTTCACTTACCTGCTTACGAATTTCAACATATGTATTTAAAAAAATCACATTGAATACATATTGTAATTATAAGCAGTAAGCTGTTAGCCCACAACTAATCCTAATGTTAAACACCATGAAGAGGAACACTTTTATCATCGTCATGAATACTATTACCGGCTCTATGAAAAACGGGAGGGCGATGGCTGAATCATTAAAGGTTATAGTTATTGTTTTTCCTTGCGGAACATAATTTCCAGGAAAAGGACATCGAAAGTTCAGGGAAATTTGCCACATCGAAGTTCAATTTCTAGACAGCCCCGTTTTGAAGTTCAATTGGAATATTCTGCGGGGAGTATTCGAATGGATCGTGTCGGTGAAAATTTCGATACCTATGCACCGCATTTAACTTTGAAAAATAAACACACACACACAAAATATAACTTTGATTAGCTTTTCGAAGGAGGAAAAAACAAAGAAAGAAAGAAAAGGTCTCAGTCCGATTCCTGCGTACCACTCATCCCAGAGGAGCTTTGTCTTAACCAGAACCAGTAGTTCTTCCAGCGCGTTTCCATTTGGTTATTTCACCGGTTTTGATTTTAATTTTAACTGAGAAAACATTGGGCCAGAGGCCCGATCTTTCTGTTATTCTGCCAAACAGCTCAATTGGGCCGGCATTGTCCCTCACATTCTTATTGCATTGACCTTGCTTAAATCCTGAAATCAACAGGCACTTGATTTAGATTTAGCAGAAGAAATTAATCTCTTACAATTTGATGAATGAAAGCTAGAATCCTCACTAGGAGAATGCCCATATTTAGTGCTGATAATATTTTGAGCAGAATTGCTTCTAATAATAAGATATCTATACCTAACAAAATTCTTAATATTATTATTTTATTTTATTTTTAGATAAAATAATAAATATTTTTTTGGGACCATTCAGTTATGTATTTTTTTAAAAAAAATAATTTAAAATGCGTCATTTTTTCTCGAGACTATTGTATTGTATCTAAGTTAATGGTCAGTCACTCTGTCATGGCAGGGGATCCAATTCCCCGTTAAATTCATGACCGAACCGAAGGAAGTAGTACGGTGGCGTTGAGCCCATTGTTTCAGTGCCAAAGATGCGAATGTCTCCGTTTAGCTCTTTCTCTACTTCCTCCTTATTTATTGTTTTTATTATTAGATCAACACGCAATAATTAAAATTTAATACACTATAATACTCCCTCCGTTCCTTATTATAAGAGACATTTGATGCTTATGGCATGTTCCAATATATAAGAGACACTTAAAAGTTGTCTCTATTTTTTTGTATTGATTTCCTATTTCACCCCTATTTATTTTGTCTCCCACTCATACTCTCTCTCCCTCCCACTTCTCTTTCTTTTAATAATTTAATTATTCTCTCTCATACTCTCTCCCCTTATTAATGGGGGTATTGTTGGAAAAAATATTATACTTTTTACATATTAATTGTCCTCAACTAATTTTAACTGTTTTTTTGATCAATGTAATTTAGTTATTTGTCTCTTATAATAAGGAACGGAGGGAGTATTATTATAATATTAATTAAACCATATATATACTTAAGCAGTAAAAAATTAACATGCATATATGTATTTTTTATTATTTAGTATTATAATAATCCTATTACAGTGTATTCTTTTATTGGATCGTGTTAGTTTACTCCCTTTTAATTTCTGCCTTTTCTTTTAAAACAGAGAAAAAAATTATCTAGCATTATAATCTTATTTTTCAGATATATCCAGTACTATAATTTAATTCATAGTACATATAGCATCCTAATTCCAAGATATTAAAAAGGCTGGACCTAATAAAAAATAATATTAAGGTGTTAGATGTATTAGAAAAATAAAATAAGACCACTGAATAAATTTAAAAAAATAAGGTAACAGATTTACCATTACCCTTAAAAAAAACACCAGCATGATGGGAGCTTGCAATCCCCATCCTTCCACATCAATCAATTGAAAAAGAAAAAGCAAGACAAGAAGTCATGTGCGTTGCGAATGCCGAATGCTGATTTTGAACTGGACCCAAAAAATCCACCGCAGGTAGGGACCCACCAAATCACAGGTGTTGGGTTCTTCCGTGTCGGGCTTCGAACACGTGTCCGGTATAACCAACGCCACTCGTGTTGGCGCGGTAACATTAGACGCCGCCCGCCCTCTGTGTTATCACCAGAACGTCAACGTGCATTGCCGCGGGCGAGGGGAAGCAACCCCAAGTCCCAACGACTTTTGCCCTTTGCCATTTATGGATGATATCCGGTGGGCCTCCCACCGTCCACTTGTCTATTTATTTATTCCCATCACTTATTTATTTATTTTTTAATTTCAATTTATTTTATCCATATCCTCCGCTCTCCGCTCTCTGGCATATATGAACGAAGTCAAGGTGGGGAAAATATCATTTGATTTTTATCAGTTAAATTTTTTTCGCTACGACATCTGCTATAAAATTTAGTTTTGGCTTTTGAATTAGGATAAACTTTTAGATGAACAGAGGATCAAATCATTGAAATCATGTGCCGTCATCAATCGATACTAAACAATATTCGAAGGCAAACCGCCCGGCCAATGATACCCGTTTTACTATCAACCTCCCCGCCCTTTCGCCGCGTCTCTATTCTCTCTCTAATGGTCATTGCTTGAATCAGGAATATCACTTGCTCCTGCTAAAAAGCCGGGCTTATGACTTTTTTATTATTTTTTCTTCAATGATTTTCCTAGGCCTTTGTTTTCGTCTGTTTATATCTATAGCACGCACATTTATGTTTACTCATGAATGACAACAATGTGCGCTCTCGGAGCTAAGCGGGTTCCAACTGCGGTGCTCGGATAGAAAGAGTGGACGTGTGAGGTTGAAAACCTTGCAAAGCTTTCTGCCAAATCACTAAATTGGGTAAGTTTGCTCACCTATCTTCTCTGATTGTTTCCCCATTCCCTTTTATTTGAAGTGGCAACTGTGGCATGCTGCGTGTTTTGAAACGCAAGGGCTTTCCGATTGTTGAGATACGAAGAGAGGAAAAGAAATTGTATGATTCATGTGACCAAGTAGTAGTCTTATGTTTCTTTTTGGGATTTGTTTTGGAAGTTGAGAAAACTGGGGTATTTTTTCTGAACGAGTGAAAATCTCAGTTATTATGCCGCTTTGCTCAACTAGAATCAAACAGTGTAAGAGCCCTTTTTCGTTTGGGTAGGGAGTTAGATTAACGGGGTATTGGAAGTTTTGCTTGAGAAATATAAGAAAATATATCTGTGCCAATATGAATTTTGAAAAATGTATATGTATTCTCTTCATCAAGGTCTCCACTCTGAGGCATGTAGATAGAAAAATTTACAGTGAAAGAGCTACTTGATTCAGGCTCAACTCAAATTTAGATTAGTTGGGAGTTTCGAACACTAGATAGTTTATTTCCGAAAATAAGAATGTACCTGCAGTCTAGTCTAAAGAATTTCAGGATGGTCCTTGTAACTGCTTGTCCTTGAGAATTTAGATTCTTGTCATCAACTGTCAGTGATTGTCTGATTACACTTTATTCAGCGTTTGTGCTACGAGTATCAGGGGCTCTTTTTCTTATGTTTATGTCAAACTATTCTGCCTTGTTTTTAGAAGGACCGATTTTTATACATCTTTCTTTCTTTTTTTAGATGGAATATAATAGTTGGCCAAAAAAAAAAGATGGAATATAATAAAGGGTATAACTTATGATTTCCCCCCTGATTTATCTATTTTCCTTGGTATTATGTTTGGAAGACTTTCAGGCTTTATGTTTCAAGAGTGTTTTTGCGGCAAATTCACCTGTTTGAATCAATCCGATGCTAGCATGTAGCCACTGGCACAATCGGACAACAATGACTACAACATTACTTTTCATTATGAAAGCAAAACTACCAGTACCCAACTTTTTGTAACTTATCATATAAATGCTGCTTTTTGAGTTTTTGTATCATCTTAGGTATTAATTACTTCTTAGAGTAAAATTAATGTTATTTGCAGAGAGGTTATAAAAAAATGTTATTTGCAGGCAAATGTTTATACTCAGTAAATTTTGAAGCTGAGTAAGTATGATGAATTTATGGCGTAAGAATCATGATGCGTGAGATACAGGACCACTACTTTCTGTCCCCAGATCAATTATCTAATATATAGCTGCTTTCATTACAGTTTCTACTTAGGATGGGTTTAGAGGAGACTGCGGCAGATATACTTGGCAAAAAGGACCATGCTTTCCTATCAAGCACCTTATGCATGCATGCTTTCTCTGATTTAACCCATGTCTCGCCAGTGGTATTCTTGTTCCTTCTAAAAGAATGTTATTTTTATGGTATGATTTCTCCTCCTTGCACTACCACTAATTGCTGTTGGATTGTCTGCGAGCATGATTAAATGATAATTCTATGTCGTTGCTAAAATGGTTTGAATCAATTTCTTTAGACTGACAGACATCAATGATCATATTCAGATAGTTGGTAGTTCATTTCCCTCTATATTCTGATTCTTGACATGTGCCTTAAATGACCAAAGCTGCATTGATTGGTCCATTGCTCCAGAGATTTGATTGTCCTTCCACAATTCTACTTGTGTTTCTAGATTCGTATCAGATGAGAAGCTCTCTCCGGTCACCAATTTTAATTATGTCAATTAGGTGACCACAAACTAGATCCTTATGAACATTGCAGTGTTCAGACATTTGCTATCCTCTTTTATAAGCCATAGCTTTTTTTTTTTTTTTTTAAAGGTGAACAAGTGATTTTGAGAGAATTCGTCACACCTGTGTTAAATGAACTTGCAGAAGGTGATATTACCTGCTTCCTATAGCAGAAAGGACATTTTTTCAAAGGCTTGTAGTTTACAGTTATTAAGAATTTGATTTTTTTTTGCATATCACAGTAAGAACTAAGAAGTCCTTGATAAAGATAGTCTAGTATCGTCTTCAAGTTTTAACTCTTTTGACCATCAGTGACACCATGCTCTATTCTAATTGTCCCCAGAAGTATTTGTTAAATAAAGGATCATATTTTTAGACTTGATGTGGCACTGTTTCATCAAGGTGTATAGCATTTCTTATTCTTTCAGTTTCCTCTTTCCAAATGACATTGGATAGGCACATGTAAAGCAACAGCCAAGTTTCGAGCCCTTCAACATCAGGTTTATCTGGTGCTACATAATGATCCTAAACCAGGACCAGCAACTTTTGTTGTTCAATGCCTGTACATATCGCCTTTATTTGAAGATCACAGTCGAGGCTTTAGTCACCTGGTTATATCTGCTTTTTGCCGCTTCCTAAAAGTAGCAAGAACCTTAGAGGACTCCTCGGAGATGAAAGACTTAGCAGCCAATCTATTCCTTAATATTGTTAGGGGGCAGGTTTATCATGACGAAAACATTATTGTGAAAATACTGGAAGTTTTTGATGTTAAATTGACTGACATTCAGAAAGCCATGTGCCAACTGAAAGAAAAGAACGATTCAAGTTTTGGCAGAGCAGAGGAATTTATCAAGCAGTATATTTTTGGGTTGGTAGAGTCTCAAATGTACATCAAAGCTGTCACACTAATGGAGCACTTCTCCATCCGTCAGTCTGGGCAGTCATTTCTTCTTAGTATGATAGAGAATAATCAATTCAAAGCGGCCGAGAAGTGGGCAATATTCATGGGAAAGCCAATGTTGTGCACCCTTGTTGAGAAGTACATTCAGAGGAACATGCTAAAAGATGCCTATGAGACTGTAAAGAAAAACAATCTACAGCAGGATTTTCCTGATTTGTACCAGAGTTTTGAAGAAAGGCAATTTACTTCAACTTGTTAATATGTAGTGGATTTTCCCTTTTTATTCTTTTAAAATAAATGTAGAATTTGCTTCCTGAAATATATACTTGCATTCTAGTGCCCTGATCAATTCCTTTGTACGAAGTAGTCTCTCAAAGTTTGTAACTTGCTGCACGTATATTAGATTTAGCCCCTTGAAGTAGCATAAATATACTTTTTGATCCAATGAAGGGACTAACATGTGGCGAGTTACAAATTTTTAGTGGTGATCTTTCAGGGACCAAATTATATATTTTCTCCTTTTCTGTTTTTAAAGTCCTCCATTGTAGTATGATGGCTTCAGGGAAATTAGGATATCTTCATCCAACTACTACCCATTCTATAAGTTTTTCATTATATGAACTTCATTGATTGGCAGCTCACTGAGAAAGTTAGCAGAAAAAGGATGTTGGGATGTGGCTGAGGCAAAAGCAAACAATGATAGACAGCTTATTGAACATTTGGTTAGTAATTATATGGCATGACGACCATCTTTATGTGCCCATACTGTGAATTGCTGCATCAACGGAGACCATGCTGAATAGTAGAGCTTATCTTTTAAACCATTTCCTCTTCTATCATAATGGAATTTTATGATTTGCATGCTTTAAAAAAGAGCTTGAAACTCTGATCATACGAGAGTGGAAGATTCTAGTTATGAATGAAATCACAACCCCATAGGGATTGAGACTACTGCTATTAGATTCGTTAGAGAAACATGTGCATTAACTTGAACTTAAATGTGATCTTCTGATTGTGCATTCTATTGAAAGTGGATGTTATAATGGCTGTCGTAAATTTTCTTGACCAACAATTGCTCCTCCTTTTTTTATTCAATTTATATCTATTTAAGGTTTATTTGGCAATGGAAGCGGGTTACATGGAGAAGGTTGATGAATTGTGTGATCGGTACTCCCTAGACGGGTTTTCTGATATCAAAGGTATGCCATTGTTTGTCGTAACTTGGAATCAATGGAAGTTAATGAGGGGTAAAGCTTGAACTCCAGTGGCCTTGGATTTTATTTATTTGTTGAAATTGCCTGCTCTTCTATAACAGACGCAATTATGTTTAATGACTTGTAGTACCTGAAACAAGCATTCAACGAGGGCGTTATTTGCATCTTGATGAACTGTTAGTTGAACAAATCATTTGGGTAGATGAAGTGGAAGGTTTGCTTGACGCAACAAGCCGTATTGAGAGGTGTAAAGTTATTGGAGTCGATTGTGAATGGAAACCTAATTATGTAAAGGGCAGCAAACCAAACAAGGTAATCTCATGATCCTGGTTTAACTTGTGGAATTGGACATGCCAGGACGACAGGCTACGATATCAGATTATAACCGGAACTTTGATTCTCTGGCTTATCTTATTCCTGTTGTGCCTGTATGTTTTGTTCTCTGTAAAATGAAAATGACAATTTTTTCCCATGTTTCAGGTTTCTATCATGCAAATTGCCTCTGAAAAGACAGTTTTTATCTTAGATCTTATAAAATTACATGGAGAGGTGCCTGACATTCTAGACAACTGTCTAGCCCGCATTTTGCAGTCGCCTAGAACTTTAAAACTTGGTATGAAAAAATTAATGAAGTATTTACATGGAATTTACCCTAAAGTGCTGCGAACATATTTGAACAAATTATTCATACTGAATAAAACCTTACCTTTTTGTTCTATGATTATTTTTACATGGCTGAGAATGCAGATGAGGCTAAGATTTACAGTAAATATCGCCAGACAGTAGATTTAGGGTGTAACTCTTGTTTCTGTTTGCTTTCTGAGTTTTAGGGTATAATTTCGTATGCGATATAAAGCAGCTTGCTCACTCGTACGAAGAATTATCATGTTTCAAACACTATGAGAAGTTGTTGGACATTCAGCACATTTTTAAAGAAACTCGAGGGGGTTTGTCTGGGCTTACAGAGGTATATCATATGTTGACAGTTAATTATGATTAAACCTTCTTTTTCTCTGTCTAAGCTATTCATGACAAAATGTGATTATGAGTATAACAGAAAATACTGGGAGCCGGTTTGAACAAGACGAGACGAAACAGCAACTGGGAGCAACGGCCATTAACTCGAAATCAAGTAATTCTCCAATTATGCCAATGATATATGAACTCCTGTAACGTAGTTGAATAAGGGATTTGTGTTCCTCTGGATTCTGTTGGCTGGTGCCTTCAAAGTTTGGAATGGCACATGCTTTGCATTTTGATATTGAGTTATAGGATTTCTATCTGTTTGAATGGAGCCATTTAAAAATCTGACGTTGCACCATACGTGAAGCTAGAATATGCTGCTCTGGATGCTGTGGTACTAGTTCACATATTCTGCCATCTACGCTGTCAGTCTCAGCGTCTCGGCGACAAATTTGAGTGGAAATCTTGCATAGTAAGTGGCATTACCCTCAGATTTTGCTCGGCCATTGATTCTGCCACCCCACCGCCTTCATTTATTGTTTCTAAAGGTCTACCACTTCTTGTGATCTTATTATTGCGATAACAGATGACCCACGGGGAAAGCGTCAAGAAAACGGACAAGTATGCCACCAGTTAAAAGGAGAGCCAACGAGCATTGAGCCTCCTCACTCTTCAGCTTTCCTTATTGGATATTTTCCTGTTGATCATTTCATGAAGTGACGGTCATTTGTACAAAAAGATAAATAAAGTCACTTCATTGTTTATATACGTCAAATGACTCAATGAATTGAACAGTGGAAAACTACTTTCTCATTTTTGAGGATTTATTTTTTTTGGGTGGAATGGCATGCATCAGTTGGAAAATGGGTGTGTGGTATGGTTTGGACTTCCGTGATGTCGCGAAAATTTGGGCTTATGAATATGAACCTTTTCTTTATAAGCCGAATATAAACTTTTTAATTCGTGACGAATCCGGGAATTGCTTGACTGGGGACCAAAATCCATTTTCTTCGCAAACATATTTACGAACAAATTTAAATAAATTTATTAATGTGAAATATTTATTTATAAACCTCACCTAATTTTACTAAAAATTAAAAAAATCGGGGAACAAAATTTAATGAAATATAAAGGGGGTTATTAGGGGAAGTAGTCGTTCCATGCGCCTGAACACAAAGGTTGACCAAAAGTCAAAGGTAGCTTAAGCTCTGGCATGGCTGTCTAATAATAATAGCAGAAAAGGAGAAGACGTGCACCTCTCCTTGCGTCTCTTCCAAAATATGGCCTCCTTTATTTCTTCATGCTCTCACGTGGTCGTGGGGCTCATAGCCGAAGCGGAAAGATAGATCGAGAGGAGGATGCATGATGGAGGCGGTTGAGGAGCGACCACGCCCCTATGGCAATGAATTTGATGCTAACTTCGGTGTGGATTTGACGAAGTTACATGACAACAAAATGTGGATCGGCAAACGCAGCCCCTCTTCTCCGTCTGACTCGAATCCTCCCAAACGACGACACAACAAGAAACCCCCGTCCCACGCTGTGATCACCAGAAGTCGTGGTGGAAGGATCCTGAGACGAAGAGAAAGAGCAGAGCGGCCAGTACGAGCTTTACGCTTCCCGCGCCAGGCTCCAGTCTTCTCTTCAGGCTGCTGTTCGCTTCTTCAAGCTTTAGACGCCTCCAAATCCTCCATCGATCACTCTCCTCTGCGCAACACCGCGTTCTGGTGCCTTTTAATTTTCCCCGATTCAACATCGAGATATGCGTGTGCGCGCGTGTTGTATAGGCGATCTCGGCAAAGGGACGCTGAAGTTCCGTTGACGATTGACTATTACCATGTCAACTAATTTGGACGTATTATTAACTAATCGATCTTCTCCAACATGGAACCCGCGATGGAATACATTTTCGAAAGAGCAGGGAGGCAAATCGGGTCAACCATTGACATCTGGTCAAGGCGGCCGTCTCCCCTGTAAATAATAAAAGGCCATTCAAGTTTATTGCTTGACAGGCTTCCTCTTATCGCAGTATAAGCAAATATACTTAATAACATGACAAGACTGCGTATCAAAGAGCCCTGATTCCATATCAAGGACCGCTGCTTCCGCCTACCAGATAATATTAGATTTTGCTATAGTCTTACGCTATGCTATATTAAGTTCTTTATTTGTACCTATAGTCTTTTTCGAAAAACAACTTTTTTTAATATTATTTGAAGGAGACTAGTGGAATTATGCGTCTTAATAGTTTTAATGAAGCCAATGCGTCAAAAATTATGGGTGCATTATTGGTGTCGCATTCATGCCAGCTCGATGCAGTTCGAGAGCCTAGGAATACCCCATACGGTAACCAGTCTGATGTTAGTGACTGAAATAAAAACACTTGAGCATTGATTGCCATTCTAGTCCTTTCTGATTCTTTCATTTGTTGCACCAGACACTCACAAGCCACGGTTCCTTCAATATAGGGGGAACATGCTCACAAGTGTGTCTCCTTCCTCTGTTTCCCAAATTCATTGCCGCTTCTCTTCCCACTCACAAACTCCACCATTATTACTCATCCCATGCTCTCGCACCCACCCCTCATTCCCACTGGCTATTCCATTATTCTATCTCCTTGACTTCACTTTTATTTCTGGCCCCAGAAATTAGCCTCCGTCTTCCCGGTTCTCTGCTTTCTTTTTCTTCTTTTTCCTTCCCCCTCTCTCTTCCTATCTTCTTTCATCATTTTGACTGTCTTTGTCAAGAAACAAGACTCATCCGGGAAGCAGATTTACAGGTGAACCTTGATTGATTAAATCATTCAAATTTTAGCACTTCAGAGTGTCGGTCCGTGGTGGTGGTGCAAGTACATGAATGAGAGCATTGTAGAAATTGACTGTGAATAGTATGCATATTGTCTTTCCAGTTATTTCTGCGTCAGGATAGTTTTTGTATCATAGAAGATAATGGAGATCGAGAAAAGACGTTCCAAGGGAAGCTTCCTCAGTTTTTTTTATTGTAATGGAGTATCTCGAAAGAAGCTGTTCCGTGCCAGTCCTTGCTTGCCTGGTAATCATGTGCCACCATCTATACTGTTAATTAGTCAATCTCCCAGCTTGCCTCGTCCACCTATTCAGTCCTGTTCGAAACATAAGCTGTTCTCTTCCAAGAGTGCTATCCATGTTTATTCTAAATATTTCTGGTTAATTTTAATTAATCGTACAGACGGATTGAAGCAAGCGAAGGAAAATGTGGGGAACATGCCAGAATCACAATTGAATACGGTGCGCTGTTCTTTCACCTTCTTTCAGTTCACATGTTCTCCTATAAACTCGTAATTTTTGTGGATGTGATATTAGAATTGGAGATTGATTGCCACTGTTTCAGGCAAAGGTTGGTGAGAATGATATAAATCCAAGCGGTACAGCAAAATGCGATTTCAACTGTGAGCTGTCAGCTAGTATTGATAAGGGATGTGAAACCAAGGCGCCGTGCTTAGTAGCGAGACTAATGGGTTTGGATTCATTGCCCACTTCAACAGTCAATAAGCTCTCTTTTATTGCATCGCGTTCCTCTAAATCTCTCGTATCTTCTCGCTGTCATGAGAATGATGTCTACCCCATGAGATCCGGGGCACATGAAACGGAAAACAGGACAATTGAAACAAGACAGCCAAAGAATGCAGCTACAAGAGTTCTTGATTTCAAGCAGAAATCAGAAGCTGCACATCAAGCATCCATGCAAGAAAAGATTATGGATACAAATACTGTCAAGGGTTCAAGATACTCAGAAAACATTGGTTCTCACTGTAATTGGAGTAGAGGAAAATCAACCTTACTTGCAATACAAGCTAAGGCCGAGGGTCAATGCGGAGGTACTTTAACTTCAAATGGTAACAGGGCACATGAGCAGAAAGAACAGAGTGAGATTGCATCCAACCAGTTCTTCAGGACACAGAAACCAATTTTACAGCAGGCTATGAAGCAGAGAACATGTAAGAGTCGTAGTAGCCATTACAAAGAGCGTGGGCAGAATATGCAAATGCAGAATAGTGCTACCGTTAAAGTCAGATCAACTTCAATAGTCGAACCCAACAAGCCAACCGCACGAAGTTCCACTTGTGGAGCGAGGAAAGTGACAAACAAGAATTTTGTATTTGGCAATGTTAAACCCAAGAGTTCTGGCAGAAGAGCAACTGGTGCCAAAGAGGGGTTTTCACCGATCAAGACGAAGAGTAATTCCATGAGGAAAAGATATCCCAGAAGGGATGTTCTTTCTGCCAATGTTGTTAATAGTTGTGAAGTTAAGTCCATAAAATGCAATATAACAACAGACGGAAGTATGAATCAGGATACATTAAACAAGGAACCTGGCAAGGATGTTGTTTCCTTCACGTTTACATCTCCTTTGAAGAAAGAGTCACAACCTTCGACTCATACGAACAACGTTGGTGTCATTGCTCCTGGCTTACATTTGACATATGGTGATGCTTCAAGTGAACTGTTCGATGGAAAGACGCAAGATTTGGCATCTAGAATCAACTCACCCGAGTGCAATCTGGCTACTAGGGTGTCTTCGGCTGTTTTATTACGCAGTGAAGTTGGCATCGGATCTGGGGAAGGAGACAGGAGTTTTGCCTCTGATCCGCCTGGTGGTGATCTGCAGGGCATGCATAACTGTGGTTGTTCTTCAAACGGTGATCTGATGCTTAACATGAATCAGCAGCTGCAGGTATTTTATCATCTCTTTTAGGCACTCAGTTTCATCCATCCTGGTTTCTCTTATAACTGTTGAATATTGATTTTGAAACTTTGATAACTGACTGCCATTTAATTATTGTTGGAGGGGGAGATGACTGATCCATGTGCTAAATCAAATTATGCAGCGATCCAAAGCAATACGACAACATAGCAGCGACAACAACATTGAAATTGAGTACAGTCAAGGTCTGAATTCTGGTTTGGTCAGTCAAGCTGCCGAACAAGTATGTGAACTTTCATATTCAGAAGATTATAATCCGTCAAGGAACTTGAAGCTTGAATGTGTAAAGGATATGCTCAGCAATGAAAAGTTAACGGAAGAAAGTTTTGCACAGGATCAAACAATCAGAAGTGAACAGGTCAAAAAGACAATTGTGTTTGACGTGTTGGAGAAATGGAGCAGTGGAACAGAAAGCGATGGGGACGAGCACTTGAAGGTGGAGAGGAATCTTTTGTTTGACTTTGTGAGCGAGTTCCTGGAGCTCAGAAGAAGCAGAAGGGACAAGGGAAGGGCCCTGGAGAGTCAGATTTGGTGGGAAGAAGACTTGTGCAGAGAAATGAAACGATTCAAAAGCATGCAAGAGAGCATGGTGGATGAGCTTGTGAACATGGACATGAGCTCTCCACATGGCACGTGGCTTCATTTTCAGACTGAACCCTTCCATCAGATTTTACTTTCAGAGATTGAGTGGGACATCTCAACTTCTCTCATCAATGATTTGCTTCTTGAATTGCTGCATCATTAGCCCTCTTCGTGTTCGGCTCTCATTGTTCTTCTAACATATACGGGTGACATCGTTGCACGGTTTTATCCACCTCATCGTTAAATTTAAGGACCAGAAGCTGTTAGAAATATAGAATAAAAAAGTTGAACTGGGACCTCTATAAATTATGATTTCGTGTAAAGAACAAAGAAAACTCAGATTTTTTGTTTGGCTTTTGATATTCTTATTTCAGGGTCATTACTCCGTACGCGAGAGGCTGTGCGTGTGATTTTAATATTTGATCCGCATCGTCGAACACCTCACATGCCATATTTTATTCCGAAACTGAATCAACAACATACCATGTGGTTTCTTTTCCCATTACCCCCTTCCATGTTTTTTCCCTTCTTTTTGTTGTTTTAATGATTTTGGCCTTGTCTGCTCACTGTTATTAATAGGACAAAAAGGTCGATGATGATGAGTGCCACGTCAATGTTCCTGGGCCAGCTGTCGAGTGTTGATTGGCCCATTTTACGCTTCCTTGCGAAGCAAAAAATATGCTTCTTGCCTCTCGCCTCACAGCAGTCACACCTTACATTCTTTTTAATCTCGGGACTGCAGAAAAAAACTCAGAACAGACGCTGCTTTCCATGACGCGCACAGATTAATATGTTACCTTTGTTCTGAGAATGATTATTAATTTATAATCACTGAATTACCCCTTTAACTAAATAAATAGCTCGAAGGATCCTATGCTGGGAGCCATGTTCACGTGCTTCGCAGGTCTACCTGTGCCTGCCTTTGGTGAGATTTGATAGTTTCGCCTAGGGTGTTCATGGGACGGGACGGGACAGGGATTTTGTCCCGTGTCCCGTCCCGCTTCCCCTTTTTTTTAAGAAAAAAAGATATCATAATTTTTTATATGAATTTTTTTATATTATAATACTTATTTTTTATTAGGCTTTTAAAGATAAAAACATTATAAAAAAATATTATGTAGAAAGCTTAATTATATAGTATAAAAAAGGTGTAAAAATAATACTGTAAAAAAATATCGTAAAAAAAAACACTATATAATGACTTTATGAATTATTTTATTGAGGAAGGAGATTTTGTTGAGATAATACTACAACTTAAGAGCTACAAATCACCATAAAAATAAGAGTTATTATTAATAAGTAAATTAAATAATCTAATAATAATTATTAATAAATAATTTTTAAAAGAAAAAAATCTCGGGACGGGACGATCCCGTCCCGCGTCCCGCCCCGTCCCGGTTATTGTCCCGTCCTGTCCCGTTTTTGTCCCGTCCCGAAATTTTTTTTGTCCTATCCCGTCCCGTCTCGAACTCATCGGGACCGAGACGGAACGACCGGGACGGGACAAATTGAACACCCCTAGTTTCACCGGGTTGGGAGAAGGGGAGCCGATCATAATTGCTGATCTAGTATGAAGAGTTTATTTGGATTAGGTAAATAAAAACAAAACTTATTTTTCATAAATTATTATTAAAAAATTATTTATAAATTAATTATAAATTATTTCAAACAAGTCCTAAGAAAAGTCTAAACAATTATTAATTTGGTACGGATTGTTAAATTATTTCTACTAATCATTCATCTTTAGAATATAGTCGATTCAAGCCCGCATAGCGTGAGGAAGTGTACCTTTTTCATCCTATAAATTGTGTGGACACGACTTCGTGTTCTCGTTATTCTACGTTATCACAATGTTATCGAAAAAATGAATGAATACTTAAATATCAGTATATTTGGTTGATTCAGACCACTTGACAAGATATGAAATAAATTCAATTATTACCGCTAAGAAATCTATGAAATAATTTGACGTGAAAAGCCATTGATGACTAATTTCAACGCAAGAAAATTGATTAAGAAAATAAATTTAAGACGTGAGGAAAGTGAAAAAAAATGATGACAATGCAGCCACAATCTTAATTCATGTTTTCACAGTTCTAAATGTAAAATTGATTTATAGTTTTGATTCATCTTAAATATAATATCTTATTCATTTTCATCTCCCACATTAAATTTTTTTAATCCTTAGGCCTTTGTTTATCTGGGTATTTTTATCCTCTTCATATTGACGGTAACAATATTTTTTAAAATAATCACAAATTATCCATGTATTAACTAATAGTTACTGGTCCTATTTATAAGATACTTCCAGTATGTTTCATACAGATGAAATTTTTTTTAAAATGCATTAATTTTCTATTAAAATATAACAATTTTTCAACTTTATCCTTATTTAATATCTATATTTTTTAAAAGAAATACTCCCCTAATCCTATTTATAAGTCATTTTCAACATTTTGCACATAGTCCAAGAAAAACCTTAAACTTCATTAACTCTTATTTAAAATTCAATAATTTTTCAACTTTATTCTTATTTAATATACATCATATCTTATATAAACAAAGTCAATATAATAACAAATGAAGGGTAAAATTGTACAACTATACAAAAAAATTTCTCTTAATACCCTATAAATAGGACCAATAAATACCTTCTCTTTTTATCATATAAATAGAACTAGAAGAGTAATTATCTACACTATAATAAATGAAGGACTAAACAGTACATTCATCTTAAAAATTTAATAAAATGACTTATAAATAGGATAAAGAAAAATCTTCTCCCTTTGAATAGGATCATGAAAAATCTTCTCCCTCATCTTCATAAATATAATCAAATGAGTAATTTACATGTATTTCACTCCACAGTTAGTCAATAAAATCGGAATGAATATATTAAAACTTTAAATTGCAAATGAAAATCAATGACATTGCACCAATGAAAAAACAGTCTGATGATGTAATGGAGCGGGATACTGTTCTTCGTCTGATGATATCACAAATTACAAGAGCACTGCCAACAGATAAAAGAGCGATGAACTTGGGAACAAGCTTTAATGAGGGTTGACCTTCCAAATCTAACAAAGCTGCTCCTCCTATTTTTAATATAGGATCTAATTATTAAGTTAATTTTGATCTTAAATATAAGACTCATTTTTTATATTTATCAATTTTTTTCAAATTACTCCTATAAATACTCTCTCAACCATAATAAAGTAGAAGAGGGAGAGGAAGTATTAAGAAAGATAATTATGATGTTTTAAGAAAAATATATCATTTTTCTTATAATTAACTAACTTACTTAACTTTTTTAATCTAATCAAATTAGTTAAATGGATCTTATATTAAAGATTGAAGGAGTATAAAAGAAAACGGGAGCGGGTGAGGACTCCGGATCAATCGCACGTCGGCATCACACTGGATGAGAAGCCTCCAAGAGAGAGAAGGGTTAAAATTAGTAATTACTACATCCGGTTCTTAATATAAAACTTCGTTTGATTTTTATTTTGATTTTAAATATAAGACTACAATTTACCTTGTCTCCCATATTTATGTATTTTTTTTCCTAAAGCAGTCCTTATAGTAATAATAATTATAGCTAATACACTTGATTAGCAAATATATTTTAGGAAAGACAACACATATTTATTACAAATAACTAACTTAACTTATTTTTTAATCTCCTCGAATTAGTCAACAAACTCTTATAATTAAGATCAGACATAATATTAAAAAAAAAAGGTAAACGAAGGAGGGCTTCATCTAATCTAAAGAGCAATTAACAAAATGTTGTCACACACCACACCACAGGGGACGAACATGGGTGATGAGACGAAGGGACGTGGTCGCAACTCCTCAGAACAGCGCAAGGCCCTTTACTTTTGTTCTCCATGCAAAAAATTAAAAGAAAAAAATACAAGTGGCCAATTGAAGCCTGTTTCAAAACTTGCAATTTTTTCATAACTCATGCATTTATTTTATTTTCATAAAATGCGTAATAGATATTTGACATTTTAATCATCATGTGATACATATGAATTCCTCTTCCTTCATTCTAAACAGATGCGGCCTCATCATGTTCAGCATCGTAAAAAGGTTAAATTACCGAACGAATTATTATTATTATTTTTTTTTTCCGGAGGAAGCTTTATTATGATCCTATTCCCCCAATATGATATGGAATTATGTTTACCTTTCCTGCGCTGCCTTTTGCTTGAAAAGACCTTCCCTTCTCATAAAGATGGCCTAAGCATTTTGGTAATACAAATCGTACTGATGCCGTGAAGATGCTCATTTCTTTCGTACGATGACATTGTGATGGTGGGGATGAACACTCAATGGCATTTACGATAATAAAGTGCAGAGGCGAGGGCGTTTTCACTTCGTCTTCTGCGCGCCCATATTCCCCCCACTCTTCCTGGTCTTTACATACTCTGCCTTCGTCTTCACTCTCATCCCTTTCACCTCGCCCAACCATGGAGCTTCAAACTCCGAGCAATAATGGCGGACACGCAGGTTCCTCCAACCCTAACAATGGCGAAGTCGATTCTCTCCCTCATAGTCCTCACGATTCTCAAGGCCTATATGATGACTTCGATAGCACCTGTTCTACTCCTTACGTCAGCGCTCCTTCTAGCCCTGGCCGTCCACCCATTAGCGGCTTTTTTTACAGCGCTCCGGCGAGCCCAATGCACTTCGCGATTACTGCTTCTTCCTTGTCTTCGGCTCACTCTTCTTCCTATGAAAATAGCACCTCTTCTGTGCCTCTGGGTTACGAGTTTGAATTCTCGGCAAGGTTTGGCTCAAACGGGTCGGGTACATGGGGTTCCATGAGCTCGGCGGACGAGTTGTTCCTGAATGGGCAGATCCGACCCATGAAGCTTTCGACCCACTTGGAGCGCCCTCAGGTTCTTGCTCCCTTGCTGGATCTGGAAGGAGAAGAGGACGAAGAAGAGGCAGAGGTTCTCGAGTCGCATGTCAGAGGCAGAGATCTGAGGCTAAGGGATAAGTCTGTGCGCAGAAGAACCAGATCTATGTCGCCTCTTAGAAACACGCCTCCAGAGTGGGCTGAGAATGAGGATGGATCGCTTGAGGATTCAAGGTCAGGGAAACAAACGGACAAAAATGGTGCCCTGGAGATTGAAGAAAACGAAAGGGAGAAGATGGACGGGTTGGGGTCAGAGACTACCCCTTCATCCTCTAGGTCTTCCTCGGCCGGAAGGAGCTCCAAGAGGTGGGTTTTCTTGAAGGATTTTCTTTACAGAAGCAAAAGCGAAGGCAGGAGTAACAACAAGTTCTGGTCCACTATTTCCTTCTCCCCCACGAAAGACAAGAAACCAAACAATCAAAATCAAAACCCATCATCAAAGGACAAGCCGTCTGGTGAAACACAAAAATCGAAAGCAAAGAAGGCGACCGGTAGGCCTACAAATGGAGTTGGAAAGAGGCGAGTGCCTCCATCGCCGCACGAGCTGCATTACAAGGCGCATAGAGCTCAGGCCGCGGAACTTCGGAAGAAGACGTTCTTGCCCTACAGGCAGGGGTTGCTTGGGTGCCTTGGCTTTAGTTCAAAGGGATACGGGGCTATGAATGGCTTCGCTAGAGCGTTGAATCCTGTGTCCTCCAGGTAAATTACATTCATATTCATATTATTCCTTATGGGGCTTTATACAATTGTACAGATCCATTATTATTATCATCGTCATCGTCGTCACCACTTTTAGTTCAATCCCTTCGGGACACGGTTGTAATATTTAGACAGATGTTAGATCAGGCAGCCCAGATACGTACTGATTTCTGAGTCTGCTCTTTCTGGGTTGAGAGGGGTAAATGATATTTCTTCATTCCCCATTATGTATCCTTGTAGGTGCTGAGAAACCATGGGCCATATTGACGTGTACTCGCAGCATTTTACTCTTTTACAGTTGGCTGTGCAGTAACTGTAGCTCACATATATCTATATTATTAACTCTATTTGATAGATCCTGTGTTTAATTTAGAACCCTGTGGATTCTGTTATACCTCTTAATCGCGTCCTCAGTTATTCTTTAATTGAGGTTATGCATGTTGCTTAATATAATTACTAGTATCAGCAATTAAGATGCTTAATTATCAGGTTATTCTCGGTATGTTTGGGTTTTTTCCCCCTTTCGAAGTTGGCAAGTCTTTTTTTGGCGGATAAATGTCGAAAAATGTTTCTTAAACTTTGCGGAATCAACTTGTTAGTTTTTTTTTAGAGGGCAGATAACATTGAAACGAACTGGAACTTTCTCTTCGAAGTTGAAAATCAGTGGCTTGGAATTAATGAAATGCAAACAGGTAAATAATAAAGGGTGGAAAAATCGAAGAGTGGAATGTTTTGCGCATGAGATAACAAGTGGCAAGAGTGGTTGATTGGGTATTTGATTTTGATTAAGCAGACAAAGAGTGGGGGCCATGGAGTGTAGGATATAGATAGATAGAAGGATGGATGGCCATATAATTAAGGCATGATGGGTGACAGATCGCTTTGGATTTTATTAAAAGTAGGCTTTTGCAAACACTATATGCGACGACATGGTGTCCTCCCAGATGTTGACATAAAGTTGGGCTTCAGATTATTTGACATTGACTCGCTTCTTCGTTATTATTATTATTAATATTAGAGCCCATTTAACATGTTTCATCTTCCTGTTTTGGCTTTCCTCCCTTTTCTCGTCTTTTTGCTCCTTCCTGAGTTTCTAGTTTTACCCAATCTGCTTTCTGCTCTCATTCAGTTACACTTTATATTATCCTAAATTAATACACTCAATGTTTTTTTTTTGTGTGTAGTATGATGGCCACCACTCATTATATATATATATTTTCTGAATCAGACAACTTGAACGTTTGAAACTGAGTTTTTTTTTTGTCCAAGTCAACTACTCTCTCGGTTTTTTATTATAAGAGACATTTGATATTTATGACATGTTTTCATATATAAGAGACATTTAAAAGTTGTTTCTATTTTTTTGTATTGATGTTCTATTTTACTCCTATTTATTTTGTTTCCAACTCATACTTTCTCTCTCTCTCACTTTTTTTCTTTTAATAATTTAATTATTCTCCCTCATATTCTCTCTCTTTATTAATAGAGGCATTGTTGGAAAAATCATTATACTTTTTACATATTAATAGTGCTTAATTAATTTTAATTGTTTTTTTGATCAACGTAATTTAGTTATTTGTTCCTTGTAATAAGGAACGGAACGGAGGGAGTACCATTTTATGGAAACTAATGGAATTTTACAAGAATTGAGTTTAAACTAGTTACGTTACAGACATGATTCATTTATAGCGCTATCCCCAGCACCTTCAATTCTCATTCCAGGGACCCTACTTTGAGGTGTAACTAGTCGTTGGAAATAGAGTAGTTGGCACCTTGAAGGAGGGTCCTTCTCCTTTGAGGGTGATCGGGCCCTTCAGTTTCCGCATAATCACCTTCAACTCTACCAACGGGCCACAGCGAGCGTTGATAAAAGAAAACTTGTATGGTTAACGTTAAATCTAGGATTCGTTTAACTAATTTTTTTTTTCATATGGTTAATAAAACAATTGTCTGCGTTGAAAGCGGAAAAAAAAATACTACGAATTTAATAACAGATTTAAGCATATGACAACATATTTAATAATGATCTCACTGATTGCTCTTGCAATTCCCATCCCAACCATTACCTGACTTTGTTTGGCATGTGATACAATATATATTATGGTAAAAAGCCCAAAATATTATAAAACCACCCCTTTAGGCTTTACCCCCGATTGGGGGGAAAACCAAAAAAAAAAAAACCCTCTCCACCCTCCCCGCCAGCGAACATGAAATCGAAGAACACACCCCACGTTACCAGGCGGAAGATGAAAAATAAACTGGGTTCAAGGTCACGTGTCAAATTGAAAAGGAAGAAATACAGAGATAAAGTTTTATAAAAATGGGTCCAAATCGTGTTCTCAAGCTTGTCATTGTGCGAATACAGATCTGGACATCTGCAGAAAGGAGATCGAAAGGAAGACATTCATAGAAAACGGATCTAAAAGGGAGACAATCACGGCTTCGAATGCTCACAGAGATCTGGAGAGAGGGGGACCCAGAGCAAGGCGTTCACAAATGTTGATGGCGAAGGATGAAGACGACGGTAATGGACTGATGCACAAATGAAACAGTCACAATAATCACAAATGGACTTGACATTCGGTAGTACCTGGTTTTCGGCCTTTAAACAGTTTCGCGATCCTAATAATTGAGGGTGTGCTATGTCCCAGAAACCAGAGTCATTTTCATATCAATAAAATCATTCTAATCCAGCCGAAAATCGGTTTCGGAAACGGGCATCCAGAACGTCTTATGACTAATAGCGCGTTTGGATCTACTTTTGTAACTGTTTATATACATAGACTTGCGTTGTATAAATTATGAATGAATTCCTTAAATCTCTCTGCTTGCAAAATTTAAAATTAAACTCTACATAGGAAATATTACCATATTCTCTTCCCTTGCCCTCTATTTTCATATTCCCGTGTTTTAACATATTACGGTGTATTAAAAAAAGTTAAACTTACAGTCATCTGAGGCTAACATACGCGGTAAATGTAGGATAAAATGTGGGTATAGATAAAATTCAAACCCTTATAGTGTATTACGTAAACAGTTAAACTCGCTAGTGCCCCCACCAATTTGACAGTAAAGCTAGCTATACGTGGTTACTTCATTCCATTCATTCATTCATTCATTTATTTATTTTTGAAAAGATGGAGGGTAGGATAAATATCACACCTCAATCCCTAAAGATGCAAGTTCATTTCAATAAAAGATCCCATGCCGGTACCAGTAAGCCCAGAATGGAAAATTGTACAAAATGGCCTCCAATTAAACCTCAAGTCGTCCTGGTAAGTCTCTAATATGATTTCCCATATGGAAGATCTATCTTTTTTGCTTCACTTTCTATAACTCAGCGCATGTTCGCTGCAATTTCGTAGAAATTAGACCAACAAGGCCCCAGGTACTAAGGAACTACAAATAACCTCTATAAGCAGAAACTCAGTCAATAGCTCTTCCAACTTCTGACAGCAGATCAAGCAATAAACTTAGACAAGACGTTCTTCTTGAGAGTGAGCTCATCTGCCTTTGCAGGGCTGACAGACTGCATCAAGAAACCAAGAAAGTTCAAACATGCTTTGAAATTATTACATAAAAAATTAATCACTTCTGATTGTCAGATGCCACTTGATGAAAAAACAGTTACAGTCCAAACTATTTTGAGAGAATAGCATCTAAGTCCTAAAAGAATAAATTAACGACAGTTAAATCCCTAACAATTTTTCTTTTTTGAAAATAAGTCAATTGATACTCTTGAATTTGCATTTGTCTAAATCAATATTTATAACTTACTTTTCAGAAAATTTTGTCTAGGACCTAACTGTAATTAATTAAACAATCCGAGACCTTACTGTCATCCTCCCAACTATGCTCGCCGTCTGAGAATTCGTTGCTGCTTTTTGGAAATAAAATCTATGTCCATTGGTCAAGAAACTTCCCCTGGAGAGAGGGAAGAACTCTATCCAATATGATAAGATGAGACCCGAGCATGCATTCAATGTGTTTAGTGTTAGGCAGAGAGAGAATGAGAGAGTGAGACCTTGTCAAGTATGCGCCCAAGTCTTTGAATCTCCTTTGATGCATAATCCACTCCTTTCTCAATGCAGTTTTTAGCAGCTTTTAAGTAGATGTTGCCATATCTGGGGAAACAAACAAAAGGAAATATTTAGAGGATAAAACAGATATTCAAATTAAAAGAATAGCCAGCCCCCAGTTGAATGCCACAAAGGCTTCACATTCAAAAACAAAATGAATCCAAAATTTTGTAATTGGAATAAATAAGATCATAGGATTGTTCAAATGACCTTGCAGCAGATCCCTTCAGTTTCTTAGCTTCCTCCTCAAGCCGAGAATAAACTTCTTTCTTTTCATCACTAGAAGCACTCACAAAATCTTTCACCAAGCCATCCAGAGTTGGTACTAAACCAGCCTATACCAAGGACAATCCACTATTAGACACAGAATATTATTTCTTGTCTTATCTATTAGTGAGCATATAATGTTCACCAACTTTAGAAGTAAGCTGTCCCTTCCCATCACGGCTGGTACCGCATTTCTCATTGATGAAAGTTACAAAGTCATCCAAATCTCGGCCACCATCATAATCTTCACCAGCTTTATTGTTCCTTGGGAAAAATTTGAGAGTCGGATAACCACTTACACCATACCTGCAATGGATGCATATCCAATAAGGCACATGCTTCTTCGATATGATATAAACCTAGTTTAATTACGAAAAACATTAAATCAGGCCACTGGACTCACTTCTCAGCAATATCTTTGTGTTGGTCAGCATCAATATTTGCTATCACAACATCTTCCTCCGGTTTGAATGCTGTAGCGACTTTTTCATAAGTCTGCAGAAATAGTAAAACAATTTATCACAATCGACCTGGATGTTAACATAAGTAGAATAATCAATAATAATATAGGAATAGAAAATTAGCTTACAGAGGCAAGGGCTTTACAATGACCACACCTGGAACACGTCATTGTGAAATAATATTAAAATAGACATTTTTGAAATTTCAAGAATTCTCACTCAACACAAACAAAAAGATCATCCCAATTCCCAAATATTATCACAGACCATAGCATGTTTATTTTCCTGATTGCATTGATGTGGTCTCATGAAGGAAGACCCTAAACCTATACTTACCATGGAGCATAGAACTCAACCAGAACGTCTTTTGTTTCATCCAAGACAACCTGATCAAAGTTATCTGGAGTGAGAACCACCACACTGGATGGAACAGAAGCTATCTTCACATTGGTTCCTGCATTAATCGTTGAGCATGTCAGAAGATAAGTTGAAAAAAGCAGGATATGTCATGCAGAAGAATGATCATTACAATAACAACAAAGTATTATCCTACTAAGTACGGTTGCCTAATAACAATAATCATTGAAAAAAGAGGTCATAGGTAGATACATAGTCCATATTAAAGGGAGACAAAATTCAAGACAAGAGTTGATGGTAATTACATTTCAATTTAAAAAATCAATTCCAAGCAACTAGTTGTGCTTGAACACAATAAATTAAGTCTCTTTCTAAGTAGTTACAAAAGACAAACATTAGCATGTAAGTCCAACATGCAAAAGATTGGGGGATTAGTAATACACTCAATGTCTCCTCACCTATTAACTAGGCAATTATTTCGAATTAGGTAAAAGATTCAACGAGAATTCATTAATGGAATGCATAACTAGCATGCAGAATAACAACCACGTCTTCAAGTACACATGAAATCAAGCGTAAAAGCCATGAAACATAAAAGATACACATCCTACAACAGCATTGTTCAACAAACTGGAAGACATATTTTACATGAATACCTCCTTCTTTGTTTACAAACTCAGCAAGGGCTTCTGCAGTACGTGCCCCATCATACCTAAATCACAGAGAATTTGATAGCGTGGATAATCAATTCTATTAAGAGTTTCAAGTTCTGGAGACGTAAGTTGATGAAATTCAAAGAATAGGTGAAAAAGCAATTTAACATTATTTCATATTTCATAATGAAAAAAGTTGGAGGTGACAAAAATGGCCAAGCACTCACTTCTTTGGTTCCAAAGACCCCTTAGGAAACCATTGAATAGTGGGATAACCAGAGACACCATATTTGCTGCAAAGGCTTTTTTGATCATCACAGTCTACCTGCAGTAGGAGGCATCAATGGCTGAGCAGTGAAATCCCATTCAAACGAGAAAAGATGGGTAGCATAAGATCTATGGACATCACTGACCTTCCCAATCAAAACGGACTTGGCTTTTTTAAAACTTGCTCCCAGTTTTTCATACTCTGGTGCGAGCCTTTTACAGTGTCCACACCTGTGGGAAAATGTTATAAGCATAGTTTCCATAACACCCTAAGGTCAACATGGGGATTACATCCATGAAAAGCATGGTTACAAATGGTTCCTTGAGAGAAGGGGGGAAAACTGTCTCTTTTGGCCTTTATAAGAATGCCCGACGAGTTATATTTTACAACTGACAAAGACGAAATTAAAGTTTCTATGTTTGAGAATCAGCACAAAGCAAATGCATAGGATGCCAAGAAATCTGAAATCAATTGATAGTACATTTATGGTCCAAAACGAGAAAGATGAAATTCGTACGCCCCCCTCCCCAGGGGTCAGGCTCGCATAACAGGAAGAATTAGCAAGGCAAGGATTTATATTGATGCAAAGAGCTAAAATGATCAACAATTCGTTCCTATTATGATCACATAAATACCATGTTGTGCAATAAGAATCATAGAAAGTTGCATTATTCTAGGATATAACTCCAAGACTAATTAATCAACTACTTGACCGCATTAAACAATTACGTAGAGATCAAAGTTCACTACTTGTGATTCGAACAAACTCAATCTTATTAGCTACAGATCCCCTGAGACATAAGTGCGACCCACAACAAATCAAATTCTAAATCTATCAGCTCAGCATCAATACGTTAATAAAAGAAAATAAAAAAAATGCATCCTCGATGATATTCAGGGGAATAGGATGAAAAAACGGAAATAAAATAAGTTACAGAAACAAAAACAGCAATTTAGACATAACTGAAGCTGAGCTCAATATATTGAGAGAGATATATGCATACCAGGGAGCATAGAACTCGACAAGAGCGCTGCGATCTTGGCCAACTTCTTGATCGAAGTTGGACTCCGTCAGCACGACCACATCGTCGGCCGAAACCGATGAGACAAATACAAGAGCTAGCGCCCCCAGAGCAAACCAAATGCTGAAGCTCGACATCATTACCTGCTCCGTCTGCGATGAACGCAAGCGTGATCTATTCTTTATGCCACTCGGTCTTGTGTTTTAGGCCTGGCTCAGTTCTTATGTTTCCATTTTATACTATTTATTAAAAAAAAATTATTGCCGAATGACGTAACGTAGAAGGACATACACAACGCACCTACTCTTTCATTTCAGCGTCAAAATACGAAGCATGATGTGGTTCCAAAAAAGAAAAACGAAGACTATATAGCATGAATCAAACCGTTTATGAGCCAGAAAGAAATGAAAATTATAATGAGTAGGTAAAAAATCTGATTCGCAACCGAAGAAATTAGGCTATTACTTATTTCTCGGAGGCTTTTTGGTTCTGGACAACAGAAATTTCTCAATAGTTAATAAACGATTGAACAGGGGCCTTGCGAGAAGCCAATTCGCGACGTCTGGCACCCGAAACGAGAATCATACCAGGAGACCAAACGCTCTGATTCCACTTTCCTTTATTTGCCCTTGCAAAGATCGAGCATGTCACCCGATCATATATCATATCAGTAATATTTGCATAATTATCTTTATAATATACATATCTTTATTTATATTATAATTTTTATAAATACCAAATAAGAAATGTCAACAAAATTTTGTTGTTCAATAGCAAATAAAATTGTGTTACCAAATCTGATTTGGGATTTATAATTTCCAGCTTCTTATTTTGTCACTCTCTCTCTCTCTCTTTTTTAATTCTAGCTCAGACAGCTACAACTGCTCCGGGTTAATTATGAATGGCGTATAATGAATTACGGTAATTTTAGTTACTGAGGCTTGCGGGAGAAACAAAAACTACTGGAAGGCGCATCGTAAGGAAGTACTCCAACAGCAAAATTGCATCCACCCATGTTGATTAATTCTCTCTGATTTTGAAGGATATTTTCAATTCAAAAAAAGAATGAGATAGCATCTAGTTTTTTTATGTGCGGATTCTACTAATTCTTAAATTTGCCCCTAGTCTCTTCTTGTAGTAACCCTTAAAACGAATTATTATAATTTGCTAAAATCGGCTCGTAATGTTCTAATTTCTAAATTATAAATGTCTAAATGCCCATATTCAAATAGTATTTATTTTTTTGTTTCCCGGGGGGGGGGGGGGGGAATAGTGCCAGAGAAAAGTAAAACCGCAACGCCCCTCCTATGAAGCCGTGGCAAGCTACCAGGCAGCCATCCGCAGCTGACTGCAAAACACAACGAGTATGAGTTCATCAAGAGGCTTGATGGGTCCCGCGCATTCTCTCATGAATCACAATATCTATCATAGAGGTGGTCTTTGTCTCTTTTCTATTTTTTCAAAGATAAAAATGTGTACGACACTGCAATTCCTTTTCGCAATAGTAATTCCGTTGGAATGACACCTCCAACTCACTACATCAGAATACAAGCAATAGAGATAAGATGCCAAGCCCTCCCGATCTGACCGTAGTGGACGGACTCATTTGATGTACTGAGAAAGCCACTTGAAGCCATCCCCGTAACCCATTTTCCTCACAATACTGCACATGAAAACCTCCATGGGTCGCACGTTTGAGTCCGCCAAGCTAACCTTACCCTTGCCGGTGGTGAAGTTGGACAGCCCTAAGTGGTAACGCAATTCATCTTCTGAGGCAGCATATGGTATATCAATCTTGTTCCCAAGAATAAGGAATGGCACAGTCACCAATGCCTCGTCCGACAGCAGAGCATCCAATTCTTTCTTTGACTCGGCAAATCTTTCCTTGTCATACGCATCCACCAAATACACCACCGCATCTACCTATAACATCAGACAAGGATCCCACTTGTGGCTATCATTCAACTCATAACAAGCAATACTAATGAGAAAGAAAGCAAAAAGGTTACGCTATTAAGCAAAGTTTCAGGAGATAACTAAGTAAAGAAACATCCAGGTAATCACAGAGACTGATGAATGATGTCTGCCTCCCATGAATCATTATCAGAGAAACATGACATTTATTTAGCCAGGCCAATGGGGCTAAAAGGGTGCTTTACCTTCAGTAGAGTAAGACAAATCAGAGAATCCATGAAAAAATGTAAAACAAAAATATGTCTTTTATCATGTTCATAGCAGGTCTTTTAAACCTGAAAAATGCCATCAGCAAACGAAAACATATTATGTCTCCCTCCCATGGACCAGATAGATACAGAATGTTCACACAATGTTTAGCTAGGACTCAAAAGACAGGGTTTCTGATCTGCATTGAACTATTTAAATAGATGTCATTTTTACGTTTTACAACAAAATTTATAACATATAGCTTAATTTTAAACTTGGTGACTCCAATATTGAACATGGGAAGACTTTATCCCTAGCAAACATGTCGACCTAAAAGCTTGCAAATTCAGAGTATAGCATGTGGACCAGCTATATATTTGCCTATCTGCGATAAGTAGTGAGAGCGACTACAAATTCAAGAAATGTTATCATGCGGGCCAGAAGTACGGTACATCAAAGCCTTTTTATTTGGGTCAGACATTCAAAGCCTTGGGTTAGTAATACTTTTACACTAAGGCATTATATTTATGCACCTTGGCATAGTAATCTTTCCAAACTCTTCGAGCAATTTGGTGACCCCCAAGATCAAAAGCTTTGAACTTGATTTTCCCAATACTCAACTCTTCTGATGTGGGATACTGTGTTGGCTGATGCTGGACTAATCTCTGCCACAAAAATTCTCATCATAAAGATGTTATGCCAAGACATATCAATAGCTAGAAGACAGACACAGAACGATTTGCATGATGTCATAATGAAGACAACGCAAAAATATTTCAACGCATAACATAAAGGTACTAGTCATGAACCATGGTAATGTGAAGAAGCTACCAGCCTGAAATAAAAGCACGGCAACGTTTCCAACCTTTTGGGCAAATAAAAAATGTTTATTTGATGACTACAACGCGTATCTATCAAAAACTGAACCAAATGTTCCCAGTGGTATAATTCAGAATGGCAAATCTTTTTCCCATAAACCGAAGGGTAGAATTGAATCTGCAGCCTGTGACAGCTTCAATCGTTATTTTGAAGCATTGGGTCTCTAGTTAATGTAATCATGGAGAAAATATAATATACCAATGGGATTAAATGCCACTAACAGATAATATTGTCACGAGTTCTTTTGGGAAAAATTATCGCTATGTGGGACTAGGGTATTCTACGGAGTTAAAAGACAATGACAATTCCATCTTCAAAACTTAATGTCTTCTGGAGGCTTTCCTGAACAGAGCATTTCCCAACCAAAACCCTGACTACGGAAGCTCTTAAATATATGAAGCGCGGCGTTATTATTTTACAGAAAACATGTTATAGGGACAAAATTCGAGCATGGCATATAATCTGCTAGGACTGCTACCTCTTTCGTCTCCACCTTGACAGACTGAATACCATCTCCATAGAAAAAGGAAAAAAGAAAGCAAGAAAGAAAAAGACTCAGCCCTAATCCCTATTAACGATTAAAACATAAAATAACGGCAGCGATTTTAGAAGTCGAAGGCAGGGATTGAACGGAAAAACAAATAAACAAACCTCGTCTTTGAGCATATGAAGTAATGTGGTTTTGCCTGCATTGTCGAGGCCCAAGAATAAGATCTTGGCCTCCTTTTGCCACAATCCAAGCGATGCTAGAATGTCGTAAAACCAATCGAAAATAAACATTGCCTTTATCTGTTTATTGAATCAATCTCGCTACAACGCAACCTCGATAAATATCACTGCCTGATGGCTAAATCAAAAGGTATTCATAAAGGAAACAAGATCTAACCTCAAAACAGAGTCAAGATAGAGATGTTACACTAGAGTGCGTTTGTTGAAGCAAACTAGCACCTGTTCAATTCAGATCCTTAATTATAAAATCCTGACTGTCCATGCATGAATGGACCAGTTTTTATTTTCAAAATGTTTAATAAGAAATTATAAAATCAATATAAATAATCAATCCAAAGGCCAATTCTTCAAATTGATGTGGAAAATGCATGTATATCACAAAAGAAAAAGTTACAACATTACAACCAAAAACGGCAGACATAATTCATAAACAATATCTTCATTTTTAGAGTTTGCATGATGCAAGATTATTTATATAATTAATGATTAAAAGTTAATATATTATATAAAAGTTAAATGAGCGAGTAAAACAAATCATTTATTTTCGAATCCTATTGAGAGAGATACTCATATTTCGTGTCTAACAATATTTTGAATAAAATTGCTTTTAATAGAAGAATACTTATATTTTAAAAAAAAAAACCCATTTATTATTTTTATATTTGCATATTTAAGTTAAAATAAACTATTTGTGCGTACATATTTAGATGCAAATACGTATTCTCATGGTAAGTGCAATTGAAATGTTTATGTAATTTTAATAGAAATAATCCGATTAATCTAGACAAGAAAAGTATCCGAACTGTTCATGTGACTTCGTAAAATATCATAAGCTGCCAACACCCATATCCTAACTCGCTCCATTTTTTCCCATTGCTCAGCCCACTGGGTTGAAAGAACAAGAGCCAGCCCGCCAACAGGTTTCAGACAAATATGAAAACGGGAATCACCCTTTTAAATTGCACTCCTCAGTCCTCAAAGGTCTCCGTTCTCAACAATCATATCAAAACGAAGGAATGGCAGAAAAGGAACGTCGAATCCTGGTGGCCGTGGACGAAGGAGAGGAGAGCATGTACGCCCTCTCCTGGTGCCTCCACAATCTCGTTTTCCCAAATTCCAACGACACACTCATTCTCCTCCACTGCAAGCCCTCTCGTCTTGTTTATCCAGCCTTAGATGGCACCGGTTTGTATTTATAAAATTGCTCCTATGCCTCGTCTCTGCCGACTTCTCATTTCTCTTGTATCACATGCAGTCAGATCTTTATCCTCTGGTATTATTGTTAGGATATTTGTTCTCTTCTGATATAACGGCGACGGTGGAGAGGTACAGCGACCGAGTGGCGGACGGCGTCTTGGAGAAAGCTCAGAAACTGTGCATTAATCTGCAACAGGTGCGTTTTAGCTTTGATTTTTGTTGTGGTTAGCGATAGAGGTGGGAATGGGAAGAATGTGTAATGGTGAATGAAATAGGTGAAGGTGGAGACGAGAGTGGAGAACGGGGACCCGAGGGACGTGATCTGTGAGATGGCGGAGAAGTTGGGAGCGGATGTGCTGGTGATGGGAAGCCATGGGTACGGCCTCATCAAGAGGGCTCTCCTTGGGAGTGTCAGCAGCCATTGCGCTCAGAACGTGAAGTGCCCAGTGCTCATTGTGAAGAAGCCCAAAACTTCGTCTCCCCCTTCCCGCCCCTGATTCACTCGAGATTCCTTCCTTCTCCCTTTCTTTTGCGTGCCCTGTTGTTGTGCTGTTTTGTTCTCTCAGTATAATTTCAGATTTTTTATTTTGAAGTCCACCGTACCAGTTGTGACTATATTTCGGGAATGTTTCGTGATTTTAAAAATGATATTACGAAAATTGTTTTTGTTCCTTCCAAACACTCACATACGGTGTGTTTGGTGTGAGGAATTTGGGAGGAAGGTAAGGAAGGGGAGAGATTTTAATTATTTTTTCTTGTTTGGCAACACACAAATTTTAGAAAGAGAGGCTCCCCTCTAAAATTGAGAGGATTTGGAAGGAAAGGGCAATATCTTGCTATGTCGTAATCATTATGTCCATATTTTGCTATGTTGTGACCATAATGTTTATATTTTATCATGTTATGACTATTATGTTCATATCTTAAATAAAATAAGAGTAAAATTATTCATATTAAAATATTTTTTCCTCTCCTCCTCTTTTTTTTTATAAATCCAAACAAAATAATATTAAAATTTTATCACTCTCCTCCCCTCTCCTTCTTTCTATTAAAATTCCTCCTTTTTTTTTTTTTCCTATCATTGAGCCAAACATACCACCTCTAGGCATGAGAATGTTGTGCTCCGCTAATCATCAACTTTACGTCGGAGGGACGCGCAGGAGATGATGACCCCTCGGATACTTTCCTTTTCTTTTTCTTGTTGGTAATAGGATACTTTCCTTTTCTGATTAGTCATCATTACCGCATTAAATTTCTGCATGATGTTTCTATCCTCCTGTCACCCGTGATGGCCCGCTAGCATCCCTTTTTGTCAGCCAAATCGCCATATTAACAGCTTAGACAGCAATCCGCACATTGTGATGACGTTGCCGTCAGGGATTCACAGCCATGTTTCCCCGCACGGCAGACGGCGAAGGGTTGCCTGTCATAACAGATTATAAACTGAGGGAGACGAATGTATTGATCCAGTGTTTTTTCCCCTTCCAAGTGTCCACACCTCAGAGGATGGAAATATGCATATGAGGCCGAACTCAGCGTTAATGCTACCAAGTTGCTGCTGCTATTTTTTTTTTTTTGGGGGGGGGGGGGGGGGGGGGACGCGATTTCCAGATGCATACTCCCATTAGACTAGATTTTTTAAACACTAACAACAATGCTGCGCATCGAGTTTTTCCGTGCAAGTCCACTAAGATTTTACAAGTGTGTTGGCAGATCAACTTAACGGTTTGTTGTTCTAATATTTTTTTTTCCCAACAACTGTTCCTACACTATTACTGATACAATCTAAAACTATTCGTATTTTCAGAAAATATAAATGTGAAATTCATACAATATTGTGTTTAGAGATCAAGAAAAGTATTTTTTTAAAAACAAACAAATCTTTTTATATGTTTATTTCGTATATCATAAAATTACTTTTAAAACTATGATTTTGATTCTATCAAAACACTCCCTGAATCAATTCAGCTAATCAAATTATCATTTGTAAGAAAATGTTAAGAGATATGGTTTTAGTTCTTAGTTGCGCGCGCAGGCACGGTGTGAAGCATCGTACGCGACTATATTTGTCGCAACAGCAGAAACTCAAGATTTTCTTCTCAACTTCCAATGGACAGCCAACTAAAGATTATCGAAGAAATCAATTAAACCTCAAAGATAGCCGTTTTAACCCTGTTCTAATAAGCTGACATAGTTAAACAGGATTGAAGATAAACCTCGACCCTTTTTTGTTTACAAGTTGCAGCGTTCTTGGATTGTCCCAAAAACAGAAATTCCTACCATTAGAATCGATATGGGGAAAAAATAAAAAGATGATAATGAAGCACTCAAGCCTTATCCAGCGAATATCAGTCACTTGCAAACTCCTTAAAGCTCATCCTGCAACCGCAGCCCCGAAGAGAACTTATTAAATAAAAGCAGTGAGCACGTTATAGATGACATATTTAGCAAAAAATAAACCTACATGTGCATCCTCTTTCTTAGTTTCGGCATCTTCGCCAGAGTCCGTATCATCCGCTGCTTCATCAGCATCAGCATCAGCATCAGCATCTTCTTCATCCTCAGCCTAGAAAGGATATGACAAATTCATCAGGACCAACAAAAGTGCTGAAGGATTACAAATTTGAAAACCAAATCATAGGCTTACATCAGAATCGACTGGATCATCCTTTGATTCCTGGTTCAACATTCAAAAAACAGGACAGTTATGTGAAACAGAGTTCACAATCTTCCACATTAAGATCAATTTCAAAAGTCACAAATTTTCTCATTTGTCGTTCCTTATAAAATTGAAAGATAGAGGTGAAACAATTACCTCTTCCTCTCTCTTCTTTTCAGCCTCTTCAAATGCCGCCTTCTCAGCCTGCAAAAGAAAAATCAGGTGTCAAAAAGATTCAACAATAAATTCTTCCTAGATCATGAAGATTGAGTTAAAACTGCTTACATCTTTCTGCTTGCCCCATGTTTCTTCAGCCAATTGTTTAGCATATTCCGGATCATCAGTAATCAAGACATTGTCAAACATTGTACCAGATTTCACCTGACAATAGAAGCAGCTCGTGTATCAGAGATTGGCCTTGACATAACTAATGCCAACAAAGTAAACAAAATTTTACTCAGAAAATGAAGATAAGAAATTACCTGCCACAATTCAATGCCAACATACTTCAAGTTGGGGAAAACATAGAGCTCAGGATCGTCATTGAAATCTGATAAAATGTGAATTTTCACATGTGACTACTTACTACTTACTGTGACCTCAAATCCACCACTGAATTATAAAAGTTTGCAACTTATCTTATGCCACCAATTAGTTTCTATAGCCATAACGACAACAAAGGAATGATAAAAACAGACCTGGGTTGTCAATCATTGGAGCCTTCCACTTTCCTTTGTAATTGGGGTTCTTAATTTTCTGCAGAGTTGTAGGTGCAAGATCAGCAAACATGTCCAATCCTGTGCAAACTAGATATATCAAAATGACAACAAACCTTCGGCTTCCATGGGCCCTTGTACTCAGGGTTCGCAATGGTTGGTGGTGTCCACTCACCATCTTCCTCATCATCCCAGTCCTCGGGCTAAAACAACAGATAGTCTTATGAGTAACAACACCAAGTAAGATATAAAACAGTAGCAAACAACATAGATAAGGACCTTCTTGGCATCAGGATCCGGAATCTCTTTCGGGATGTCATCGTACCCCTACAAACATAGGAAGTCAGCATATACAACACCAGCAAGAGTCAGAAAATACCATAAGCTTCACGAGAATGTACAACCTCTGGCTTCTTATCCTCAGGATCAGGAATGTACTCTTTGTCATCCCAATCTTCTGGCTGCAAGAGTATTACAATAAAGAATTTTCAACACCTCAAGACCAATCAACAAATTGTAAGTGAAACAGTAAACTAAGGGGCGGAAACAAAGTTACTTTTTTGGCAGAAGGATCCTTGATTTTCTTGGGAGGGAGAAGATCCCAATCAGAATAAAGACTGCCAGTTTGTTTCTCCACATTATCAATAAGGATGCTATAGGTTGCATCTGGACGGAGGACAAATGTGTATACGTGAGTTAGTTGGTCAGTCTCACATGGTACATCCTTCTTTATCAAGTGGTTTGTGCCATTGTACGTTAAAATTGCATGCACTTTCTTGGTACTGTAACCACAGATATCTGGACCAAACATAATACTGCATTGAAAAAGTGTAAGCAATCAAATCAGCTGAGTCAGTGAATGAGTAAAGAACATGCTACAGGAGATTTATCAATTACCTGTATGGAGTTTCCCCACCAAATTTCTTCTGATCAATTTCCCCGCTAAGTAATTTCATGTATCCACCACCACAGTCAAGTTTCTGCTCGTGCTTAACAGAAAATTGGAAGACCAGTGTCTTATCCTTATTGCTGAATTCAGGGAACTGAGCAGAAATCGCATAAAATCTGTAGTCTTCACTTGTCTGGATACCTATGGAGAAATTAAAGCACAAGTCAATAATAATCTGACTCTAGACTGTGAATCAATGATTGTTCTAATGAAAAATTTTATGCACCATAATTGATTTACATAGATAATCTAGTTTACCTTTGTCATCAGGATCACCATTCCATTTACCAGAGGTGTAGTTCCACTCCCCAGCCAAGTTCTCATCTTTCTTCCAATCAGATTTTACCCAGCGATTTTCCCATCCACCTATAACAATCACCCGTTAGCATATACGAATAAAGCATATAGAAGTTAGAAAACAGGATATATTGTTAGCCAAATATGAAAAAACAAAGGACAAAAACAAGAAAGGCTAATGAACAGGAAAAAGAAGACTACAGATGAACCATTAGTATGAGCTGTACTCAATGGTGTGTGAATTTTATTGTCAATTCGTCATTATATACATTGAAATAGAGGAAAAACAAAACAATGTCAAGATAATGTGCCACCTAAATGCATGCATTAACAGTTTTAAAAAGTCTGACCACCAGTCGGTTTAAGAAATAATCTCCTTATGGAGGCATGAGCCTCCCATTTACATTAAATCTTTGCAGAAGACTCTACCGTCACTTACCCATACACCGATGTTATACACTAAATAAACAATGTTTTCCCACCTCAAAGTAATATAAGTCGAGCAAGACGCAATTCAACTTTGAAGTGGTTAAAAGACCGGGGGAAATCCAGTTAAGAATCGACAAACAACTTTCAACCCCGGTACCCTGATGAAATGCGCATGTAACCGGAAGGAGTACCGAGATAAAATCCAGGCGGCAGGGCCCTCAAGAGCTGTCAATTTCCTATGGAAGTGATGCTAGGGATAATGCTTCAGTACAATTTTAGAAACAGTTCCCACGAACATATGAATTTTATGTTAAAATCACATCAGTATAAATACCGAGTTCTTTAGACAAGGACCACGGAAAAGAACTTCAGATTGTGTACCAACGAAAAGCCGACTAAAATAAGAGCCAAAACAGTCGAGATCACAATAGATCTACACCAAACCACCACATTTCCAGATAAAATTCAATGTCCAATCAAGCACAGACCAAAGGCGTCAGACAGATCGTGGCGCAAACAAATTAAAGCATTGATCAGTGACAGAATAACCAAAGCTGACAATTACGAAATCCAATAAAAAAAAATCTAAAATCCTTAATTTGCTGGAAACAGGGGGGAAAATCAAATTACATTCCGCGATCTGCTGGGGAGCAAAGGAAAAGACACTAGAATATTCGGGTGCAAATGTTATCATTACCATCAAAACGTTCCTCAAAAAAGACCTTCGCGGAAGCGATCGCCAGCAATGAAAGAAAAAGGAGAAACTGCAGATTAGGGTTCCACGCTCGGAGCGCCATGGCTACCGAATTATGAAATCTCCTAGAGACAGAAGCCCTGAGTTGGAGTGTGCTCCTGAAACTACAAAGGGCTCCTTTTATTTTTTTCGGCGGAGTTTGAGGTGGACTATGCGGGCCGGATTGGACCAATACTGATGAGCCACGTATCAGAGAATTGTCATTGGGACGATGTGGCAAACTATTATTGGTTAACCAAGTCTTCAGAATTATATGGGACACGTAGGCATGAATGTAATCCTTTTTGAAGGTGTGCCCGAGGGTCGCGTTTGGCACTTGTTAACCTTTTTTAGCCAAGGCATTTTTATATCCAAAAATCCAACCCAAATATATTATATATTCAACAGTAATTGTTTTTTAACGAGAAGCATACTTCATTTAGCATTGGCTGTTTAGAGAAAAATGAACGATACATATGCGTCGCATCAAACAAAACTCCTATAGATACAATATACTACCTCATATCCTTAGTATAAAAACTAATTAAACTTTTAATTTAGTTTTAAATATAAAATCCTATCCATTTTTGTCTTTCATATTTATTTATTTTTTTCTAAATATTCTTATAGAGTTGTACATGATAATTTTAACTAATACATGACTAGTAAGGACATTTTATAAAAAGCAACATTTAATTATTACAAATAACTAATTCAATAAATTTTTTAATTTACTTAAATTAATCAATTAGCTCTTATATTAAATACTAGAGATAGTATTTAAAAATTTAACCGGCCATCACCGAAAATAAATAAATCGCTTCAGATTTTTCATGATGAGCAATGGAGTTTGGATCTCGCCGCAAAAAAAGAGTTTAAATTCACAATAAAATATATTATAGATAATTCATAAATAATATAATTATTATGTTAATTTTAAAAAGTTGTTTACATGACAAAATATTTACATCGTGGGAAAAAAATACGATGACTCAAATATAATTTTTACACTGAATTTAGACAGGTTTAGATAGAATTCTCAATCTATTCTTTCTATTAGAGAATGGATTTAACATCTCATTTTTTATAAGGTCACAAGGTTTTACGACTTTTTTAATGAGAAAAATTAACGTTTTTTAACTCACTATCAAACACTCTTTAATGAGAATTAAAAACTTAATTAGCCTTCTTATAAGGAGTTAACTCTGTATTAGATCCATTCTTGTTAATATACAATTGCATTGTAATCTTTGACTGTGCACCACATATTTTCCCCTCCACATAAAGAAAATGACGCACTGTTCACGTAAAAGTTGAACGGCGGAAGGAGGGACAGGCCCGGTTCCCTGACTGGGATGATTCCAAGGGCACAGGCATACAAGTGAGAGTGCCGCCATACATGTCATTGCTTTGCTGTTAGCTATAATTAGCTCTTCTGGATGCTTCCGTTGGAAGGAAGCCCCGTTCGCCTTGTCGTAGGCATTACCTGCTTCCGTATTCCCTAATTAACAATCATCAACAACGATGATGATGATTCCACCGTTTCCCGTATCAGACGCCTCCCACATCATGCATCTCATGTGCCCCATCCCAATTTACCTGCCACTCAGTTTTTTTAATAACTTGTCATTCAACTTTGCCAAAATCTGGTAAACAGAAAAATATGAACATCACTATTCACTAGTTCGCCACGACTAATAATTAATGAATATCACAGGGGAAGCTCAACTACGCGGTGATAACAAATATAGTGACGGAGTATATTCCACGCCAGATCCAGATGCCTCATGGACTCCACGCACTCACCCAACTGCAACCCTCCTTCACCGGTGGAAAGGCCAACACGTATACTTGATAGCGCTTGGAAAGAAAATTATTACTCCCTCCGTCTCTTATTATAAGATCTAATTTTTTAAATAGATTTGTCTCTTTTTATAAAATTCCTTTCAAATTTGTCAGCATATTTAATGTATTATTACCTATTTTACACCTAATTTAATACATTTAATATATTCTCTTTCTTTATTTATTTTACTATTACTCTCTCATATCTATCCATTTATATATAAAGGTATATTTGGAAAAAAATTTGTATTTTGCCACATATTTATTAATTGTTTTTAATTAATTTTAACTGTTTTCTTAAACCATACAATTTAATTAAAATGATCTTAATATTAATTACTTTTAACTATTTTTAACTGTTTTCTTAAATTGCACAATTTAATTAAAAAGATGAACGGAACAGTACTTCTAATGAAAAGTTACAAATGACTCTTTCTACTTATTTCCAATCCTTTTCTAGCGTGCATGTCCCACCAACTCAGATTAATTCCATGTTTCGCCCACCTGCCATTCTTTAGCCCTTTATCTCCGAAAATTGGCATCACAACCCCCCCCCCCCCAAAAAAAAGGGTCAATATTCAATAGATTAGCGGGGATTGCCCAGGTGGGCGTCTCAGCTTATATACAATCCTAGCAACTCCATGACTTCAATCACAAGCTCTCTTCATCCCCGTTTTCTAAAAAATTTCGCCTCTCTAATCAATCAAGAGACCAAATTGACCAATTTCTTCAAGCAGATATACGTCATTTATTTCTTAGGATGAATAGTTTCTTTGAACAGTATAGTCTTTAGTTCACAACAACATTGTATAATGATTTTTTTTTTCTTTTTTAAATTAGAAAGAGAGCTAAACCAGCCATACAGGTCAGACCTGACCTCTCCCAATTTTGAGGGCATCTTTGTCGATAGGACAATGCACCAAGCACATGATGATACGAGACTAAATTGTAATCTTTTTAAAGAAAAAAAGGTAAAAAAAACTTCATCCATGAGATGCCAAAAATACTTGCTCAAAACACCATGAATTATTTTCTTCCAAGCCCAGGAAGCCTATAACTTAAAGCTGCAAAGTCTGGTTGGCCCACAATGGCAGAGGTGCATGGAGAACAGTCTGCATACCGGTAACAGGATGCTCAAAAGACATGCTTTCTGCATGAAGCTGATGGGCATCATAAATTTTATCTCGCCACTCATAGACTCCCTCGTATTTCACATCCCCTTTTATAGAAATCCCAAGATATTGGCAGTGCAGGCGGATCTGATGAGTCCTTCCACTGCGAGGATATGCTCTCACCAGGATCTCATCTTCCATAACATCTCCTCTGACAGCCTTTTGTTCCACAACCACAGTAAAGCCTTCATTGTTTGTAGATTCAAAGGGTTCCTTGAAACTCCCTTTTCCATTTATTGATAATACTTCAAATGAAGTTTCCATGTCTCGGATTACTGATCCACCTGGTAGCGTCCTGCCAACATCTGAAGCAGCATATACCCGCCAGGCACCGAACTTGGACCTCCCGTGACCTGATCTTACAGTGGTCTTTCCCCACTGTGGAGCTGAACCAACGCAGAGGGCAATATATGTTTTCCTAACCTTGTGATCAGTGAATGCTTTGACAAGTTTAGCGGCCACTTTGTGGGACTTTGTTATGACCATGACACCACTTGTGTCACGGTCAAGTCGATTGGCAAGATGAAGCTCAGGCTCAGGCACTGGCTCTGGCAAGCTGATTTTAGTTCCTGAAACGAAAACAACCGCCCTCAGTGTTGTCCTAAACAAGAACCACGCGCCTCAAACTTTTACAGTGTTAATACGAGCTGACAAAGAAGCCAGTCTTTCAGCTTGGTTCATAAGTTAACTCGAGCGATATCAAGCATCTGTCCATTTAAAAAAGGCATACTTAGAAACTGCAATCCGAATTTACTCATAAGTTCAACTAATGTGGATGGGCGTGAGAGAAGAATCTAATCCTTAATTATGCTTTGCTTTCAAAAGCAGTAGAAATTCAGGGGAGTCGTCAAAACTGTCATTTTTCAATGAAAGATCATTATCAATCAAAATTTTACCTCTCGTTCAGTCCTATTTCGGGCCTGAAAAAGGTTCGTATAAAAAGGAATCAGTCGAGGCATTCCAATGCTGTGTGTTAATTAGTTGACCATAATTTTCATTCATTCTTTAAATCTTGGCACTAATTTATTTTAAAGGAAGTCGTTCATAAAAGGGGAAAACCAAACAGGATAAGCATACTAAGAAAACCGGGTCAACTCAAACCCAACAAACGAGTCAAATAGAGCATCCAGGTTACCGCATTCAACAATTGCTCAGAAAGAATAGAGAGACACCTTCTGTGAGTCCATCTGAGGGAGAGGGTAGAGCGAGAGCTGAAGTGAGAGAGGAGAGCACACTCTCGCAGTAAATACCCTGGGGCTTATTAACAGCGAGAAGCCATTCGTCTTCGTATAGAATGTCCGCTCTTGAAAGAGAGAAGAGGCTGGATTTTGAAGAAGCAGACATGGCCCGACTAAGCTCAATTTGCTTTGAGATGGGGGGCAGCTGAGGGGACAGTGGCACGGGGTAATTTTGAGGGGTTATGAGGTCAATTCGGGAATGAGGCGTTGGCTCTGCTTCGTCAACCATGGCTATAGTTGATTTGAGGAAAAGAACAGTTTTGGGAAACCCGGTCGCATGGAACGCCGATTTGGGGTTGAAGAGGAGTCCCGAGCGAAGGGAGGACATGAGTGGCATTTGCGCCACTTCGTTTATGCCGCTGACCCGGATTTTCGTTGTTAGAAATTGTTAAACGGGCCGGGCCCAGTGTCTGGGTCCATCAGCAACACAGTGTTAGAGGTCGCGAGGCGGCGAATTGCTTGTTGACTGTCATGTAAAAAGAAAGGCGTTCGTTGATCCGTTACTTCAAAAAAATAGTTGAACCCTAAAAACGACGTCGCTTTAAAGGCCCAAATGGATGCTTCCCATGTCGTCTTCATCAGGGGGAGAGAGAGAAGCAGAACATAAACAGCACGATAAACCCTGATAAACCCTCTCAAAGCAAAAGCAGCGCGCGCGCGTGTAAAATTTACGATCTAGGAAGTAGAAGTACCCTGGTTGCTCTATCTTCACTTCGATTTTGGACGAAATGTCCAATTTTATGCGAATTTCGATAAGAAAGTCCAAAGTCGATGCTCAAAGCCGGCGAATTTTGCACCTCTTCTCTTCTGAGTTCTCAGCGTTCCTGAACACATTTGTGGGAAATCCTTCCCACTCGTATCACACTGTCTCTCCTTCAAGCTTGCTCTGGGTTGGGTCAAGGTGTCGCCATTTTTCGCATTCTGTCCCCCAAGAAAATATTCTGATTTCTCGGGGTAGATTTGTAGAGAATATTATCCCCTTTTGTGGTTCAAATTCTCTTCGAAACACCAATTTCTCTCATCGGAGTCACCGGGCTCCGGTCTTTGCCTCACAGATTCGCTTCTGGGGTTCCCAAACGCTTTCAGAACAGTCAACCTCAGGTGGGCTAACGGTGGACGGGATTCTAGCGAACAATTGGGCGATTCTAGACGAGAACGAGGGTGATTGGAAGAGTCATGCAGCTGCGGTAGCTCAGTCTATTCATTTGATTAAACGGCGTCTACAGGTGAGGTGTTGAGTAGCGGTAGAGAGACAGAGATTGGTCAATAAGCGTTAGCCTCTGATTACAATGAGTCTCCTTAATATAAAGAGTCACCCTCTAACCTCCCTCACTAACTAACGGCTATTATTATTTATTCCCCAAACTAACTGTTTTAACTATAACTAACCATTATCAACTACTACCTCCGGTCCTTGTTTATAGTTCTTATAATTAGGACCGGAGGCAGTAATATCTTGTGTTAATTACAATTTACTGATCATGAGGAGTCAAATTCAAATCTTCATTCTAGATAACAAGATAGCTCATTTTAGTTTCCTCTGGTGGAAATTTGCTAATAACTCCGTTTCTTGTTTTTTAGTGGTTCTCATCTCACTTAGATCATACTTGGGATGTCATTATCTAATTGAGAGACCATTTTTATATGTCAATGTCAGACGGCTACAACCTGCGTGAAGTAACTTCTCTGTTTGTTTTGGCAGTGGAGAAAATTGATGGTCAGGTTGGATTTCTTATCTGCCGAGCTTAATAAGCAAGACCTTTGGGATGATCCTGTGCATGCAAGTAAAATAAGCCGTGAGCATGGTTCGCTCATAGGAAAAATGAAAGAGGTGAACGCATTGGAGCAAGAACTACTAGAGAATATTGACATGATAAAACTTGCCAGAGAGGAGAATGATGAAGATTTGGAATCGGTGGGCACTAGCTTCTGCTCCTAGGCATGTATTCATCTGCTTTACCGCTGCGGTAGTGCCACTGGAGTCTTGCATGTATTTGTGTCATACTTTATAATCTGAATTATAGTCATATTTTATTCTGTGTACCTAGTATTGTGAAGAAGTAGACAATAATCTAACTAAAAACGTCTAGCCTATGATAGTGATGACTCATTAAGTCATAGCATATAATTGTTAATTTGTAAATAAGTATTATTTTGAAGAAGAAACTAGATAGTGAACATTATATTAGAATGTTGGAGCATTCATTTAATTGAGTTGTCAGTTGAAGAGAACAGGCATCATTGTCTTGAATGTCAAATACAGATGTTGAAGTCTCTTCATACAAGATTTTTTTAAGTGTTGCGTTTCTCACTAGTAAATGCCATTCTTTTTAATCTATATGGAAGTTGCCTCCTTTTGCAGGAATCAATGAAAGCGCTTCTTAAAATGAGAAGAAATTCAAAAGAAAAGGAGCTCGAGGCATTGCTTGCTGGGGAGCAGGATTTATGCTCTTGTTACATTGAGGTTGTTGTTTAACAACATGACAAGTCGTCTTTTTCTATCACCAGCATCAGTTGCTCAAAGAACATGAGCTGCACAGACTAAAATGTGTTCCCATTAAAGTTTGTTGTTTTATTTTCTAATAGGTTCAGGCTGGAGCTGGTGGTACTGAGAGTATGGACTGGGCTGCAATGGTCATGCAGATGTACAAGTTTTGGGCCCAGGGACGTGGATACAAAGTAACTGTAGTGGAAGAAATGCCTGGTGAGATTGCAGGAATCAAGGTTCTCCTTCTCACCGTGATTCATGAATTCAAACAAATTTTACACACAGCTGTAGCATGCTTGCAATGATGTCTCAACGCAACTTTTTAAGTAATTATGGTTTATGATTTCGAAAGACTGAGTGTAACTTGTTTTTTGAGATGCTCCCAAGATTAACCTGGAGGTTTATTCTATTCTGGGACCACTAATATTTCTCACACTGAGGCCTATAGTCTGTTATCTTCCTTTTACTTAAAATACAATTTATGCTGTTCAGAACTGTTACTGAATTCATTTAATTTGATTTTTCAGCGAGCGACAATTAAAGTAGATGGTGATTATGCCTTTGGATATGCCAAAGCAGAAGTAGGAGTGCATAGGCTGGTGCGAATATCACCTTTTGACAGCAATAAGCGACGGCATACTTCTTTTGCTGCTGTAGCAGTGACCCCAATCCTGGGTGATGCATCTGCTCATGTGCAAATTAATGAATCTGATCTTCGAATTGAACGGTTTCGTTCTGGGGGACCTGGTGGTCAGCATGCTAACACAACAGAAAGTGCTGTAAGAATAGTTCATATTCCTACAGGAATTACTGCTGTTTGTCAGAATGAAAGGTAAGTGATATTTATGCACCCTTATTTAAGCGATGCTTGTTCTTTGCTTACAGAAATGTCATTCGTGCATTTTTTGAGCCTGATTATGATTCACAAACAGGTCACAACATCAGAATAAGGCTTCAGCAATGGCTGTGCTTCAATCTCGGTTAGATCAACTGGAGATGGCACGCCAGGCACAGTTGAATGCTCAGCATACCCAATCTCTCACTGATATAACTTGGGGCAGCCAGATACGCAGTTATGTGCTCCATGTACGGTTTGAGATGGCATCTGCTCTCTATTTTAATTTACATAGCAGAATTTGATAAACTATGCAGTTTGCTTAAATTGTTTCTATATATGGTGCAGCCTTATCGCATGGTGAAAGATCTTAGGACTAATTATGAGGTTTCTGATCCCGATTCTGTGCTTGAGGGGGACCTTGATGGTTTCATTTTGAGCTATTTATCAGCCTGCTTGGATAAAGACGAGGATGGTGCCTGAATCGAGTTCCTTCATTTTGGTGACACCGTCTGCCTTTGTGCATTTAGTGTTGAAACGTGTTATGATTGCGCATTTTCTGAGATGGAGATTTCAGTTGACCTCGGGTTATCACATGACGTAGCGGACAAGGAGCAAGCGTTTTTCTTGGTACTTGCCCTGACTTTTTCCCGACACAAATACTTGCCCTAATTTTACTTATTCATAAATGAATAAAAGCATCCACCTTTCTTTATGAAAGGTTTACAAGAGTCCGCGACTTCCAGCTTTCCTAATGTTGTATCTGCCAAGTTTAAAAGCTTGTTTATTTCACTCAAAAATAAAAAAAAAGCTTGTTTACTATTGGCTAGCATGGCTGTTTATTTGTGGGTCAAGTGAGATGAAACTATTTTTTAAAAAAAGAAAGAAATAACTGGAGTATTTCCGCTCGTTCTTTATGCTTCAGATTCAAAATATTTTAATTTAAATGGACAGTGCGGCAACGTTAAATTAAACTTCGCTATTTGCTTCCTGTATATTAAATATTTGTTTGTCAAATTAATGGAGTTGAGCAAAAATCAATGTTAATTTTTTTAATTGTATCAAGTGAGGTAAATTCTAAGATTAAAATAAAAATTGAAAAATAATTTATGAAGACGGATCAATATGAATGTTGTGGCATTATTATAGCGTTTCTCTTAAACCGTAAACACCTCAAAGGAATTACATCCTCAAATACATACATTCTTGTTACAATTGAATTTATATTTAAAAAAATTATGCACCGTACGTTTCCGGAAAAGAAGAAAACTCAACCAAATACACAGAAGTGATGGGACTCCAAAAATCAGGCTGCATTCCGCAGCACAACAAAGAATTTTATCTCAAAGGCCTTCAAGGTGTGCGACATGATATTATATTTTTCGTAAGAGTACCTTCACTTTCTAACTCTGCTCGTGGCCAAAAGCTAAGTCAAATATCTGCATGTAATCATCAACAAAATGAACATCAAGGCCTTCTTTCACATTAGGCGCCAGCTCGTCATAGTCTCTCCGATTCGCTGAAGGGAACACGATGGTCTTGACCTCACTCCTTCTAGCCGCGATAGTTTTCTCCTTAACCTGTAATTTTTCACAGAATGAGTGTTTCAAATTGGGGGGGGGGAAACACGATAAAGCAACCAACTCAAAATATAGATAGGGAGGGAGTAAAAGCCTCAAGAGAGACTTTCCGTATAACACACTAGTGACAACTTAAACATGTCCAGTTAGTTCCTGAAACAAATCAACATTATGGGCATATTGTATTTCCCAACGTACCCCACCAATTGGGAGGATCTTTCCGGTAAGCGTCACCTCCCCAGTCATTGCTAGATCCTTCCTCACGGGCTTCTTCATGGCAAGGGAAAGCAGTGAAGTAATCATGGTGCAACCAGCACTGGGTCCGTCCTTGGGTGTGGACCCAGCGGGAACATGGAGATGAAGCTTTGCATTCGCAAAGAATGAGTTCTCTGGCTCTCTCTCTGCTATTATGCCTCTGGCAACCGTGTGAGCAATCTGAGCACTTTCTTTCATGACATCTCCTAACTGACCAGTGAGATGCAGTGCACCTTTTCCCTCCCCTTCCTCAACGCGAGTAGTCTCTATATACAGTGTGGAACCACCCATTGAAGTCCAAGCAAGACCCATGACAACCCCAATGGGTGTCTGGTCATAGATGCGTTCGGCATGAAAGACAGGTTTGCCAACAAAATCTGCTAAATTGGATTTATCAACCAAGACTTTTTGAACTGTCATTGTTGATTCACTTTCCCGATCTTTCTCACTTTCTTTTTTGTCCTGCGTAAGGCCCATGAAATTCAAATGAGAATCAGTTCCTGTTGAATTATGGAGAAAATATGCTCAATTTCGCAAAAACGTCTTCTGCAGGGATGATCATCATATTGAAGCACAAAGCAGCGCATTACCGGTATTATAGTAACAGAAGTGACAACTAACAAGAAAGAGATAATTGTATGATTGTCACTTGTCACCAATACCTGGTGGTTCTCCGTTTCTAGCAGAGCCAACTTCATAATTGGCAGATAAATAAAGGAATCCAGTTATGACTCTCTAATTTTTACAGTACCTCTAGGTCCGCAGCTTCATTGGCGGGGCATTCAGAGTGATCGGCTGGTAGTTCTGTTTGCTCCTTGTCAACCTCTATAGAGGTTCCACTCGTTTTTTCTTGACCACAATTCTCTCCTAACCTATCCTGAAAATCTACTTTGGCTTCTTTAGGTTCAATATCCTGAGCATCAGCTAGAGGAGGTTCAATTGTTGCTCCCTGCCTCACGAGTTGAAGTGCTATCTGTCATGAGATTACAGAAAATCTAATATCAGATATGGTCAGGACTGAAGGCCCCAAGTCTATCAATGAAGAGAAGAATGACTCCAACGAACAAAGCTACAAAAACATTCATGACATGCGTGACATGGTAATATCGACAAGTTTGACAATATTGACCTAAACAAAATTTAGACCTTCCGGTATATTTTCTCAATGTGCTTTTGGAGATTCCTGACCCCTGCTTCCCGGCAGTAATTCTCTATCAAGGCAAGAAGAGCAGCATCAGTAACTTCCACCTGAAGCAAATTAGTTTTTGCGGTTAATTCTCAGCCAAGGAACATGACAGTAAATGAAATCGATATCATCAGGCTTGCTATGACTACACTACAATGTAATCTATTCCTTCACAAGGAACAGACACAGTGGGTGGAGGAAGATACTTGTTCAGGTTTTTATTCACATGCTTCGCGCGTAGTCTTTCTCCAAATAATCTCTTGCAATGTGCATTTTCTCATCGGTAATATACCCAGCAATTGCAACCACCTCCATTCTATCCAACAAAGGATTGGGTATCATTTCCACAACATTTGCAGTACAAACAAAGAGAACCTGCAGTGAGTTTTCCAATGCATGAGGCATTAGGGTCAAAACATTGCAAATTGCAATACGCTGAACTCCCAAATTCCCATCATCAATAATTCCCGATTCCCTTTTAAATGTCAATAAGC